GCCCTTAAAGCACCCCGAAGTGGGACTGGAATCTGTCGGTTGAACTGGAAGAATGAACGTAATTTTTTCGTGTTTTCGCAGATATTATCTGTCCAGAAGACAGATTAACACGGCGCCCGCCGTCTGGTGGCACTTGCAGTGGCCGAAACTTTTCGATTTTACGAAAGTTGCAACCCAGACCATTCTTGTCCTAGCTCTTAAAGTCACGAGTGGGCATGTTCAAGCCTTTTGATGTAATTTGTTTCAATAATACATTCTGAAAAATGAACGTTCTCACGCAAACATGACATGACCGCTCTCGTTTTTTTTAATTCATTTCGACCCGCGCTATTCAACAATAATGAGAGCCTCACTCTACTCAACAATAATGAGACCCCTTATTTCCTTCCGGGCAAGGAGCCTCTTGAGTAGAATATCAGGCGTACACAACCGTTTCCGGTCAAGGGCTGAAGGGCCATTCCGTTCCATCGTGAAGCGTCTTCTATCATTCTGGTGGCACGGGGCGGGATCTTCTGGTCGCTCCGGAGGCCATTAGAAGGATAAACCATATTACATTGTTCCCACCCCTGACACGGGAGGCCTTCTGGCCCGCGCAGTTAGCCCGAGATCAGCACAGGGACCCTCATTGACGCAACAACATCCCTGATTACCGTAGGTAGTCCGATAGTTATCACATAGACTCCAGTTCCGTGCTTTTCTGTGTTCTTCAGAGATATTCAGTTCTCCCTGACGGTAGATTGTAGATGAAATGGGTTCCTAATTTGTATTAACATGGATTACCCATGTTCGTCTAAAAATGCTTAAGATCCTGTCAGAGCTGATTACCGATAAGAAAACTACGTAATATGGTGCTGAACATGCGCAATCGCAAGTGATAAAAACAACAGTCTCGACGCAGCGGCGTTGCAGTCTCCGAGCCGTGCGGTGTGGGTCTTGCGACTGTAACACTCTAAGCAATGGCCAATGAGCGAACGAAAAAAATGGCGCATCTTAAAGGAGATGCCTGGTGAACTAGGTAATTCGGCATTCATGTTTAATGCTGTGCAAAAGTAAGCCAAATGCAACCTTAATCTGAAAAGTGGAGGGGGGGGGGAGTTAACATTGCTGGCCTCCTCACCTTGAAAAGTGGGGGTGCCATGCCCCCCCCTGCCCCTGCCCCCCCCCCTGCCCCCCCCCCCCCCTCTGTTCCTACGCCCATGTGTTCTGTGGCATGGCATAATAGCCATGATACGGTTTTTGTGCTGCAATCCCTGCTGCTCTCATAATAAGTTCCTTCATGGAAAGGTGGGTCAAGCGTGCAGTCTTGTATTACCTCCTCATCTGACGCATGAATGGCCAAAAACACGTGATACAACAAACAAGTCACTTTCAGCAAAGCACACAATCAATAAGTGACACCACTTGTTCAGTCTCTTTTGGGAATCCACAAAACGTAGGTGACAAAGATGCAAACACGCCTCCTGCTTCCACAGCCATGCAACATACTGCAGCCATGCGGATGCTTCACTCAAAAATATCGTTCACGCAAGTAATAACACATGTACAACAAGAAAATGTTACGTGTAGTGAAATGACACTGCAAACCTGCTGACCTTGCACAAGACGGGAGAAGTGACAAGTGCACGTCGTTATAGTTACATGGGCGAAATGCAAGGAAGTGATGAAGCTACCAGTGCACACAAGGCTCGTGATAAAAGTATCATTAAGTGCTATCCAAGAAGCCAACAGCAATACTTTTCACCTTTCTCAGCACCCAGCATCTCACACAAGTGGCAGTGACTTTGACAATGACGACTCGCAAGCTATGCTTGCCTGCATACAAAATTTGTTTACACAGTAGTATGTGCATTCATAAAAATACAGCCCTATATTTTCAGAACTTTTAAGGGGAATGCAATTTTGCAAATCCGTATGATGCGATTTCACACCAAGCATGCACATCAATGAGTCGTGCGGACCTGCCCCTACTGCCAAGATGAATTGCTAGCATAATGGGATGCAATGGGTTAATGACATGCTGTAATGCCTCAGTAGGTTCGAAATGTGGCAAAATCATAATGAAGAAGCAAACTGCCTTTGAACACCCCTGCAGCATGGGTGCTAGTGTTTCTTGCAGTTTGCTGGTATCACTATCATGTCATGTTCAAACGCAAACCTAAAGATAGAGGCAGGTATCGATACATCATATTTTATTGGGAGTCATTAGACTTAAAGAATACCAAAACAACGTTCTCTCTCAGGAGTACAAACCTCGCACACACACTCCCCATCACATCAAGATCAATGCAAGCCGCTGGCACGCACCACCAGTGATCACACCGACTTCAAACGCCTGATTCACAAACTAATGTGAAATAAGTGTGCCCCCACACCTGCACCGCCCGCGCGACTACCAAACTGCAGGTTTTCTTGCAATTTTCGCACAAATTTTCGGTTATGGCACTGCATTTCACCCTGACCTCCCTTTAAAACCTTCAACCGGGTTTCATGGCAATGCAACTCAAGAGGTTGTATATGTAGGACACAATGTTTTTGTTCAAGATTTGAGCTTGTCGTACAATGTGTGTTAAATATTCAGTCAAATATATATCTAAAACTACTGTGATATTTCCCTAATGTTATAATGCATTGCTAACCCATAAACGCGCGCAAGGTTCTTTGCTCCGGTGCACCATGCACCAACCGAGCTGTCTGAAAAGAAGAAAAAAGGCCAGCAGGAGAAAAAAGGGCGGATTTGGCGTCGCGTCTTCTTTTTTCATACCATTCGGGGGAGTGCCGTTGTTTTCTCGCTGCCGCACTTTTTTGCAGACAGTGACGCCCTTTTCATGACATTGACCCATGGCCTAAAAATAGAGAAAAATTCCCCATTGACAACAAGTGCCGCACAATCCGAAAATGCTCGCCCTTACGTTCGCGACGCACATTCAGCAGCGAAACCTTACTGACTGCCAATTACCTCCTGTGGATTGTATCATACGTGCCGCATCATCGCTTTTGCGAATGTATCAACGGTCATGTTATTTTGGCCATAAGCAGAAAGCAGCCTGTAATATAAGGCCGATCGTATGACGTTTCTATGACGACATCAGTGCCAATGTGACTTTGAAGTAGTCTCCCAATAAGCCTTTCCCACGTTTGAGGGTGTGTAACTCAGGAACCAGATGGCTTTGGATCTTAGAAAGGGCATGGCCGTGAACTGCGTCAGAAGGTCCTTATGATGGCTCTTTGAATTCAAAACCCCACCTTAAGGTGGAACACCCCCTTTAACGCTTTACATTGATAAGACGTTTCATTACATTTAACACCACGAAACTAACTCCACTGTGCCAGTAGGTACGCGCTCGCTGCAGCTTGTTATCGAGCGTAACAAGTTTCCCTTCTGCCTAAGAAATTTGACCGAGAATAGAGATGGAGCGAGTTTTACTCCTCAATAGTGTTATTTAAGGATGTAGTATGATAAAGCGATACTATGTAGTGTTTTATGCAAGGTTTATGAATACATATCGACTGTGTAATTGTCTTAAGTTAGTGTTACAATTTGCACTCACGTTATGCTCGCATTGACCAATGAGAACGACGAAAATGTTAAATACTTGTCCAAAATTTTTATCGAAAGGACTTCGCGCTGTTATGTAACAAGGTTATATTTGTCGGCAGTAACTGCCTCAAGAACCATATAAGCCTCGAGACGTCTTAAACTGACCGCATTCCATCCGCTCCATCGGAATCTGAAGTATGTCTGGCTTCCAAAATCCTTTCAAAAGTCGCCTTCGGCGTCTCACCACTTGCCAGTCGCATCACTCAGTTCTGGGATCGCAAGGCGGTCCGTTCTTTTTTAGTGGTTTAGGCGACCATCAGACGATGCCGTACTCGTTTCTCATTGGTTAATATCACGTCATTTCTGGACTCTACGACCATGAATCAGCTCCGACGCGCACCGTATATATATATATATATATATATATATATATATATATATATATATATAAACTGCATCATTGGTGACCGTAAAACGGCTCCAACTGTCCCGGGCTGAAAGACGCAAAATCGCTGTTGGTTGTGTGTGTGGACGTTGTGCTGTAAGTGTTGGTGCGTGTAAGTGATCAGAAAATAGAAGCTGTGTTTGACAAGATTTCTCTTTGTTGGACTCGCGAGCAAGACTGGCACCAGCGAGTTCTCCACTAGTATTAGTTATCATGCAAGCAGTCAGAAATCTGCTACACAGTAATGGGCCATTCACAAAAATAACAGCGGAGGATTATGAACCGGTACTTACGTTGGGTATGACAACAATTTCTAGAATGACGCTGAGTGGGAGGGAGGAAACTTTCCAAGTTGCATTTCACATTTCCGGATTTTCCGTAAGCCCTGTGCGAACGCTCGCTTGAAGTTCTGCTATATTTCACATGCGCATCACAATCTAAAAATGTGTGGTAATTTCACTCTTGCATATGCATCGTCGGTAGTGAGCATGTTTTTTGTGGTTTGCGTGGAATTATCCCAAAGTTTGAATGGTATCGCCATCATGTATGCCATTCACCAGTCTAGGACCGCTGAGCGGACGTTACCCAAAGAAAAGCTTTTCGTCGAAGGAAAAAAGTGTGCCTTTCTAGACAACCCAACATTTTTCCCAGCACTGCATCGGAGTCCACGTTTCAAGGTTCGATGTGCTCGTGAGGGCGCTGGCTGGTGTCCTGTGGCCACAGAAAACGTGTTGAGCACGCCAATAGAAAGGAGGCGGCACAGTGGCGGCGCCTCAACGCGAGCACAGCCATCACCGGCAGAGGCGGGGCACAGTGGCGGCGCCTCAACGCGAGCACAGCCATCACCGGCAGAGGCGGCTGGCGCCGGATGTCACCGACCGGATAGATCCGCGATATGGCCGGCGCCTGTCCGCCCCATGTTGTCCCTTGCCTCGGAGCGGAGGATGTGGGGATGACTGCGGCGGCGGCGTCTGACACCCGGGCAGCTATCAGGCCCCGCGTCCGGGCGACGGACGGACGGGCGGCGCCGGCATCGCTCACTGAGACCGCCCGGCCCGCCGCCACCGGTCGGCCCGGCTCTTGGGTACGTGCCGACAGCATACCGGCCACGACTCCGACAGGTGAGACCCACCGCCACCGGCAACACACGCGCACAAACCCCTCAAACGGCTGAGACCCACCGTCAACGGCTACACACGCGCACACACCCTCTCCGACAGGTGAGATCCACCGCCAACGGCAACACACGCTCGCACACCTCCGACAGCTAAGGCCAACAGCAGCTGACATGCCTCCTGACCACCAACAATTGAAGCCTTTGGACCCCAGAAGCCTTGGTGATGTTTTTTTTATGAATGGCATCTGAACCACAGCACATGTCATCAGAGTGTTTAGCATGTCAGGCTTCGGCGTTTTTACGCGTACTGTAGATGAAGAGGCTTGAGGACCGTACTGTTTATAGGTCACCACTGATGACCTCGTTGTCGGGGTCATGTCGGCCGCTTTTTGCGTTGACGCGCCCGATAGTGTGTGCTCGTGGTCAAACATGCGAGCTAAACGTCGATGACTTAGGCACTGTGTCACGTCCAACCGGACAATGGTGGTTCTCTATCAAATGCATGGAATTCAGTCCATCTAAAGTTAAGTTAGGTCATATCTTAGAAATGGAAATAATTGACTATCATGTCCTCGTTTCGCATATGTTGTGTCGCGTTAATCGATAGACATCCGCATACACCCATGTCTCCTGCTTGACCTGTACTGCCTACTATTATAGGTGTAACTCCCATCATCCTATAACTGCTTTGGGTGCCGACATGCTGTGCAGGTCAGCATCCGCCCATGGTCTACTATCGTTGTACGCCAGCACGAAGAAAAAAAATACCTAATCGGATGAAACTAAATAACTAGTTTGCCCCCTGTTACTCTGGCTCAACACAGCAAAGGTGCCTCCCTATTAAATTCACTGACCGTGATGGTATCGGTACAACGCAAGGCATCCGTTGCCACTTCCTGCGCGTTGAAACGCCACGCATCCCACGCATCCCATAAGCCGACCGCTGCGATCGTTACAGGTGCACGGTGCGGGAGGACAAGGGCGCAGCGGCGTGCGGACGGACATGCTGCTGAGGCTGCTGACGGTGGTGCTGGCCCTGGCCGCCGGGGCGCGGACACAGCAGGGTAAGCTGCTCCCGTGTCCTGCAGAGTCGTTCTACGCCAGCATGTGTACGATACGGCGAGGCAATTAATTGATCGTCAACTTACGGAGATTACGGAGAAAACCTTTTGGGCAGAACTAACAAAAAAGCGGGAGAGGAAACCGAACGAAAAGACCTGCGTGTTCCGTTGCATTGTAGACAGATGATTGGACTCCTCCGTATGAGGATAATAAGATATAATTTTAGGTAGTCAGTCAGCAAGATATGCTATAGCTACATCGTCCGTCAGCAATAATGATTGTCCTTGCCCTGACGTTACCACGTACACTTTGATAACGTTTTGCGGTTATGCGATGGCCGCCATGTGACAACTGAACGTGAATTCAGCAGCGAGTTTAGCACCAAGCACATTGACATAAAGATGTTGGCATAGAAATAATGAGAAGTGCAATTAGCCCGAAGATGTGTTTGCTTGGTTTGAGTTATACGACTTTCGGCCGGTAATGGGTAGGGGAGCGTGGAAAATGGGGGGGGGGGGGACAGGGGATCATGGCACTCACTTGTTGAAAAATTTTTACGTCGACCTCACGGCGAAGCATTGCAAGAATAACGTAAGTTGTCCAGTGCATTAGCGAGGAACATTATTCATGCAGACAGAAGTTTATTAAGAACTTCTATCTTCTATCTTCTAAGAACTATCTTCATTCCCCTGGTTTTCTCCGAGGAATAAGGCAACAGCAGCTGTCTTATCTATGTGAAGCACGGCAAGAACTGACTTCAGAATTGGCACCATTCCCCCCCACCTCCTAAAACATTCAAACTTTCTGAGACGTACCTACACTGATGCGGCCTGTAGTGATCATTTCAGGGCTTCGGGATGAAGGAGAATAGTACATGGTGAAACAAGGCTGCATGCATCTGGGAAATCTGAATTAATTAGACTTCCCCATATAGGGAACCCTTCTCCGGGTATTTGTGGGCGCTCTGCGGGGGGGGGGGGGGGCCTCCGCCAGGGGACACTTGCGCCTCATGGCTGATGCATGCATCTTTTCTCGATGGTGAGGATTTACAAGAAAGAGTTGCTGAAGAAAGAAGGACGAACGGCAGGTGGAATGTCTACACATACACAGGCTTGGATACTCGTGATACATCCACTACATCCACACACTAAACCGGGATCGGAGGCATTTGGCCAGGATGCAATCCATGCAATGCCGCGAAATATCGCATGCATGCAAGTCTTGATTTAAAACAGGTTTGGTTGATGAAGCATGCCGCAGTCCGCTCATATACGACTCGAGTTCGGATTCAACGGTTATCACCAAACGTCATCCCCGCAGTCGACAAGCCATCACCGTCAACGTGGATCAGCGGTGTCGAGCGCAACGAGAAGATTAAGTTACTCAACTGGCTCATAGATGGCTGCGCCGTCGACGATCAGTCGTGCACGGGCTACCCATTTCGGCACGTGGAGTACGCAACCCACGACGGCTGGTACAACAACATCGGCCACCCGGACCTGGGCGCCTCGGGTGCGTGCTGGCCGGTGACGGCCCTCTGCTGGTGCATGCCGCTCGTGTCCGATCTCCGGAGAAATCGTTAGCGATGACGTCTCGTATGTACGCACGCAAGTTTGTCCTGCTCGCAGTGTAAAGACGGCTCGTTTGGGAAACGGGAGGGGATGGGGGATGAGAGGGGGCTCGGTTCGTAGGCGGGAATGGGTAAGGGCTGGAGGTGTGGAGGGGCGTAAGTGTGATGTTTACAATGCTGCCCTGCATGTAACGGTATGACAGTTTTGTTTGTTTTCTTCGAGAGCTAGAGACAGTTGGCCGTTTCTCCCTGTACCCTCCGCCACCGCCCTCCCGTCTCCAGCCGCTGTCATATCAGCACGGTCACTGAGACCCGCAAGTGAAAGCGTGCTGACACGTGTCGAGACGGAACAGCCAATAACGACACATGCATTATCGAAGGTCATTGGCGGCCACACCATTAAAACTATTATCTGTCAAGCCGGTCGCTGCGGATTTGGGGAGACTGCATGTGTTGATGGGCGTGATGGTTTACCTGCGGGTGAGCCGGCGCTTTGTGAGTGAAGCCTCGGCCGCGAGCCCCGTGCGGCTGCGGCGGGGCGGGCGTCAGACAATGGGGCGGAGCCCTGACGCCCCCGGCTGTTAACAAGTGGCCGCTGCTGACGCACCCGCCTGTTAACAAGTGGCCGCTGCTGACGCACCCGCCTGTTAACAGAGCGGCCGCTGCTGACGCACCCGGTTGTTAACAGAGCGACCGCTGTTGACGCGCCCGGCTGATGACAGAGCGGCCGCTGCTGACGCACCCGCCTGTTAACAAGTGGCCGCTGCTGACGCACCCGCCTGTTAACAAGTGGCCGCTGCTGACGCACCCGCCTGTTAACAAGTGGCCGCTGCTGACGCACCCGCCTGTTAACAAGTGGCCGCTGCTGACGCACCCGCCTGTTAACAGAGCGGCCGCTGCTGACGCACCCGGTTGTTAACAGAGCGACCGCTGTTGACGCGCCCGGCTGATGACAGAGCGGCCGCTGCTGACGCACCCGCCTGTTAACAAGTGGCCGCTGCTGACGCACCCGCCTGTTAACAGAGCGGCCGCTGCTGACGCACCCGCCTGTTAACAAGTGGCCGCTGCTGACGCACCCGCCTGTTAACAGAGCGGCCGCTGCTGACGCACCCGGTTGTTAACAGAGCGACCGCTGTTGACGCGCCCGGCTGATGACAGAGCGAGCGCTGCTGACGCACCCGGCTGATGACAGAGCGGCCGCTGCTGACGCGCCCGGCTGTTAACATAGCGGCCGCTGCTGACGCACCCGGCTGTTAACAGAGCGAAGGCGGCTGCTGCTGACTCACCCGGCTGTTAACAGAGCGGCCGCTGCTGACGCGCCCGGCTGTTAACAGAGCGTAGGGCGGCTGCTGCTCACGCACCCGGCTGTTAACAGAGTGGCCGCTGCTGGCGCACCCGCCTGTTAACAAGTGGCCGCTGCTGACGCGCCCGGCTGTTAACAGAGCGGCCGCTGCTGCGGAAGCTGCCGCCCGCCTACAAGGACGGCGTATACGAGCCGGCCGGCCACGGACGTCCCAACCCGCTGACCATCTCGGACGCGCTCATGAACGGCACGAACGGCATGCACTCGAGGACGGGCAAGTCGGCGCTGCTCGTCTTCTTCGGTAAGCGGCGCTCGAGCGACACGTGCGCACTGATCACGGCACCCTCGACTACATGGTTAACTGGCGCTACCGCGTGGTTACTTAGCGTTACTACATGGCTCGCCAGCGTTACGTGGTGGCTATCTCTGGCATGCATCGTGAAACTAAAAATAAGGTGAGGAGATAAATTTTGCGAGTGCGACTTACCGCCATACTGTTCCTTTTTCTGCACTATTGAACTACAAACAAAAGAAAAAGCAACGCTGCTGCTGATGGACAGCGGACGGTTTGCATAATACACAGCCCACTGCGCAGGCAATTAGCGCTCGATGCCCTGTGCATGGATCAGCGTGATATGTGTAAAGCGAGAGGCAGCGATAGTTCCTCACTAGTCTCACGTTTTCTACTATGTGTTGTGATAGGTTATGCATTACCCTTTGTGACAAACGAAATGTTCTAAATGGTCTCACGGCTGGAAGCGCGTAGCATCCAACTGCTGCCGTGGTATCCAAGTCACCTCCCCTTGTGTGTAATGCCATGCAACCAAGACTTCGTCACACTATCTGTCGGCATGACAAAGAATTTCCCAAAGCGTTGAGCTGACCGTGTTTCGACATAGTCGCTGCCGCGTAGGCATGTGCTCAGCTGGTTGCCAGCTTAGCCGTTGTCATGTAGCTAAGTCGGTTGGTGCATTGTCTGTCAGGGTGGCCATTCTCTTGCAACCGAGTCAGATGGTACATTGTCTGCCAGGTGATAGTGTATCATGATGTTACTGGCGTACCCCTGAGGCCGCCCCTGCTCGCGCCGCCAGTGCTGCTGCACTTTGGTACGCCGCTGCCCCGACCGGCGGTGTACTGCCTGGGGCGCCGCCCGCCGGGGTCGGCGCCGCCCGCTCGCTTCGCGGGTTAATACAGTTGCCGTCTCGCAGCGCTCGTGTCTGGTCTGGGCAGACAGAACACGTAGACTTGAATAGTGGCCATTCTCTTGCAACCGAGTCAGATGGTACATTGTCTGCCAGGGTGGCCATTCTCATGCAACCGAGTCGGATGGTACATTGTCTGCCAGGGTAGCCATTCTCGTGCAACCGAGTCGGATGGTACATTGTCTGCCAGGGTGGCCATTCTCACGCAACTGAGTCGGACGGTACATTGTCTGTCAGTGTGGCCGTGTCATGTCACCGAGTCGGTTGGTACATCGCCCGTCAATGTCGCCGTTGACATACAGCCAGGTCGGTTGGTACTCACCGTCCGACGTGATCGCTGCAGGTCAGCAGGTCGTGGAGGAGATACTGGACGCGCAGAGGGCTGGCTGTCCCCCGGAGTACTTCAACATCAAAATCCCGGAGGGACACCGCTACCGGACAGAACCCGGGCACTCCCAGCTGCCGTTTCTCCGCTCACGATACGACATGAGCACGACTGGCTTTTCACCGAACTCGCCCCGGCAGCAGGTGACAAGCTGTCCGCTGCGGTACACAGCCACCCGTCAAACGGCCCCTGGACTGCCGCTGGACTCCTTCTGGGCTGCTCTTCCCTCCCCGCCCCTGTTCCCCTCACGCGACTGCTGTTCGTGTAAACGCGTTTGCATCTGTCCCTCAGCTGGCCGACTGACCAGCCTGCCGCTCCTGCAGCTGAACGAGATCACGCCGTGGCTGGACGGAGGCCTGACGTACGGCACGACCAAGGCCTGGACGGACGCGCTGCGCACCTTCGCCAACGGCACCCTGGCGCCACGCGGCATGCTCGCCTGGAGCCGTGACCCGTTCCGCGGCTTCCCGGAGCGGAACGATGTGCGCCTGCCGATGGCCAACCCGCCGCCGCCCACCCAGCACGAGATCTTCACCAGCCGCCACCGTACCGCGCCCGTCAACCGCTTTTGGAGTAAGTGGCCCTCTCCCAAACCGCCGAGGCGCGGGTGGATGCTACGTCTTCAGCTAACGTCCACCTAGCACCATCTGCAGTCAGCCAGCGCCGAGTGTAGTATGTACTAAAAAGTCAAATAGCTCTTGTGCAAGAACGGAAGATCCTGGCCTTGTGGTGTTGCAGCATTTACAGGTGGTAGGGCGTCTCCGATTTTAAGCGGGGATGAAGGTGCCGATGCCCCATGCAGGTCACATGCGATGTCCCTTCGCAACCCTTTGCAAGAGCGACAGTCCTTCGACATGTCACTCGCTGACCAACCCCCTACCGATCTCTCGCATTGACAGCAGATCTCGATTGTGCTTCAGGTTCAATGTCTTTGGAACTGGCTTTGATTCAGGTAGATCCATCGTCAGATAACGTCACAAGATCAACTAGCCTTGGTCGCGGTGACATGACCTGACGTCAATGTCGCCCGCAGTGCTAGGCAATCCGCGCGGCAATGAAAACCCGTTTCTGCTAACGTTCGGGGTGCTCTGGATGCGCTGGCACAACCACTTGGCCGACTACATCGCCACACAGCACACGGACTGGTCCGGTAAGTGGCAACCCCGCACTTCTCCGTTATTCCTATAAGCGGCAACTCTTCCCACACGTAATGCCACTACTGGGATCGTAAGAACTCCTCCCATCTCCAACCTTTGATTTGATACCCGATGACTGGAGGTCAGCAGCAAGCGGTGCCAACTTAGAGAGCCCCTGGTCCCGAAGAACACAAAGGTTCCGACGCGCCCAGGTCTGCAGCTGGAAGCGAGCGGGGCGAAACGAATAGTTAGCCTCTGACCTCGCTATCCACTACGGATGTAGTGTCTGGACCCAACCACTCCGCTCCCACACTGCCCCCCCCCCCCCCACCCAAGGCACTTCCGTTTGCTACTTGTCGGAATTCCATATTTTCCAGCATTGACCGATTATGTTCGTTACCGTCACTGTTTTCGCATACAGAGCAGCGTCTTCCCCCGCGTCATCTGAAGAGCCGCTGTCGGAGCTGAGATGCCCTCCAGTTGGTCTCAGTGGCGTACGCCACCGTTGGTTGTCAGCCCACATGTCAAACGTTGTCCGCTTCCGCAGGGGACCGCGTGTTCAATGAAGCTCGCAAATGGGTCATCGCCACCCACCAGCATATTGTCGTCAACGAGTGGCTGCCCCGGTGGCTTGGTGAACCTTTGGAGGAGTACGAAGGTCAGTACCTCTCTCTCTCTCTCTCTCTCTCTCTCCCTCTCTCTCTCTCTCTCTCTCTCTCTTCTCTCTCTCTCTCTCTCTCTCTCTCTCTCTCTCTCTCTCTCTCTCTCTCTCTCTCTCTCTCTCCCGCACTCTGATTTCCCATCCTGTTTCTAACTCCTACTGCTTTTGTCATGTCATGCCTAATTTTCGACATGTCCAGCTTGACTCGAGTCTTGTGCACCCTATTTTCCCTTTTCCTCTTATTCTCCCTTTTCCCCCTATATTCCTGTTTTTATCTCCTCTCCCTCTCGCCATACCCTTATCTACCCTTGGACATATCCAACTTAACTACATACTTACCTTGTTTGCTGCAGGGTACGACGACTCGGTGAACCCTCAGATCTCGCACGTTTTTCAATCGGCGGCCATGCGGTTCGGCCACACCCTGGTGACATCTGGCGTCTACCTTCGTAACTACAGCCGTGAAGGCTGCCACCCGGAGTCGTTCGGGTTTCTGACGGGTACCGATCGGTCTGCCGTGCGTGGTGTCAGAACATGCAACTCCTTCTGGAGACCGCAGGTAACTCGCCAGCGCAGAATGAAGACCGTCACGCTCGCTTGGGCACCAAGTAAGGTCAGGTTAGGTTGGGTCAGGTGAGGTTACGTTAAGGTAGGTTAGGTTAGGTTAGGTTAGGTTAGGCTAGGCTAGGCTAGGCTAGGTTAGGTTAGGTTAGGTTAGGCTAGGCTAGGTAAGGTAAGGTTAGGTTAGTTTGGGTTGGCTTAGATTAGCTTAGGTTAGGTCAGGTCAGCCACGGCCGAATCGATCTGTGCCTCGATCGGACGTTTTCCGCTCACTGAATGCCTTTGACACAAACTTCTTGAATAATTCATTTGCCCTGCTTTGCTCCGTTTCGGTTCATCCTGAATCCTCGCCATGCCCTGCTTTTCCTGCTTTCTACATGCGCCAGCCATAAGTGGGCTTAAGTTCTCCTGGTGAGGCTCCGTCCGAGCGCAGAGCACATACCCCCGTATACGGGGTGCCTGTACGGGTTGTCTCCTCGAAGGATTTCCAGGTGCATTTCCCAACCATTTCTCGCTTTCCTTCGCTCCATAGCCCTGAAGTGCTGACTTCTGGTCGATAAGGCCTTAATCCAAACCAAACGAAACCATCATAAGTTCCTAAATCATTTCCACTTTTCTCTTTACATACCCCATAAAAAGAGCAATTTTAGCTAAGGAGATGTGTTAGTTAATGCAGAAAACAGCGTCTGCGACCCAAGGGTATAGACTGGCTGCATCATCCAAACCGGCTGGAGCGGTCCAGCGCTCTTGAGTCAGGTGGGGCGTTATTTCAGTAATGTCCTGTCGTATGTATTATGTGCATGCGCGTTAGCAGGGCATGGGCACGAATGTTGTGCATCTGTCTCACATTGAAAGAGATGCTCGTGCGCCATGCCCCGCGGCATGTAAGTATTCCTCATAGCTTGGGAGTCCCTCACGACTGGCACTGACACCTTACGCCGTCTGGCTTGTGCGCACTGCGATCCCTCCAATGCTGACCTCCATCAGGTGCGCTGCGGCCTTCAAATGACGCTCATCGGTGTGGATCGACAGATCTGCGGTGTGGATCGGTTGATCGGCGGCGTGGATCGACAGATCGGCGGCGTGGATCGACTGATCGGCGACGTGAATCGACAGATGGGCTGTGTGGATTGGCGGATCGTTGGCGTGAATGGACAGATCGGTGGTGTGGATCGGTGGAGAGGTGGCGTGAATCGATAGATCGGTGGTCTGGATTGACGGATCGGCTGGCTTGATCAGTGCCAGAGTGTTCCGGACAGATCAGCCGGCTGCTTGCCAGTCAGGCCGAGATGTCAGACGGGATGCCGAACCATCCGTGACTCAGCGACTCGGCCTCTTCCAGGAACCACTCTCCGATCACGACATTGACCGGATGCTGATGGGCATGGCACTGCAGTCCACCGAGAGGGAAGACAATATCATCGTCAATGACCTGCGAGGTATGTAAGGCGTCCCCAGGGATTTCAGTGGCAACTTCATTGGTGATTTGCAAGCTACCTATAGCGTTTGCGGAAAGAGGATGTCGTGATCAAAAGTGCAAGGCAACTTAGTGCCAGCCAGAGCATAGCCAGACTTCTCGCGCCGTGAATTGACGTTGACCCCGTCTTGTCAGGTGACATGTTTGGGTCGCCAGACTTCTCGCGCCGTGAATTGACGCTGACCCCGTCTTGTCAGGTGACATGTTTGGGTCGCCAGACTTCTCGCGCCATGAATTGACGTTGACCCCGTCTTGTCAGGTGACATGTTTGGGTCGCCAGACTTCCCGCGCCGTGAATTGACGCTGACCCCGTCTTGTCAGGTGACATGTTTGGGTCGCCAGACTTCTCGCGCCGTGAATTGACGCTGACCCCGTCTTGTCAGGTGACATGTTTGGGTCGCCAGACTTCCCGCGCCGTGAATTGACGTTGACCCCGTCTTGTCAGGTGACATGTTTGGGTCGCCAGACTTCTCGCGCCATGAATTGACGTTGACCCCGTCTTGTCAGGTGACATGTTTGGGTCGCCAGACTTCTCGCGCCGTGAATTGACGCTGACCCCGTCTTGTCAGGTGACATGTTTGGGTCGCCAGACTTCTCGCGCCATGAATTGACGTTGACCCCGTCTTGTCAGGTGACATGTTTGGGTCGCCAGACTTCTCGCGCCGTGAATTGACGCTGACCCCGTCTTGTCAGGTGACATGTTTGGGTCGCCAGACTTCTCGCGCCGTGAATTGACGCTGACCCCGTCTTGTCAGGTGACACGTTTGGGTCGCCAGACTTCCCGCGCCGTGAATTGACGTTGACCCCGCCTTGCCAGGAGACGTGTTTGGGCCGCTAGACTTTTCGCGCCGTGACCTGATGGCGGTGAACATCCAGCGTGGTCGAGACCACGGCCTGCCCGACTACCTGACCGCCCGCCACGAGTTCGGACTCGAGCCAGTCGACTTCGACACCTTCTACAGCGTCACCGGCTCCCTGGTGGACGAGCAGGTCATTACCGCCGACAGCCTTGCAGCCGGCTACCTGATGGGCCAGTGTCATGTCGCTGACAGCCTCCCGCGTTACTTGGCACGCCTGCCAGTCTGACGTCATGGGGTCAGCTGACTGTTGGCCGCGCGGTCCAGCCGTCGACCGGCGTCGCTGCGACGTTAACTGCCTCTGGCGGCGTGCCTCCAGCGTCGCACGACTCACGGGGATGTTGCTACAGCCCGCTCCCGGCCGTCTGGTATAATTCCTGGACGTTCCGCGGGAGATGTTAAGGAGCAGTCACATATCGTGCCGTGTTAGGAGTGGGAGGGAAGGGGGTGTATGCAGTGCAGCTGAAGCATAGCAAGCGGGATGCCGCAGTATCACGCTCAGGTGGGGCCGCAGATGACACTAAGGTATTTTTAACGCCCTAAAACCCTGTAGCCGGATACCGTTGGCTTACTTGCAAGACACGCAGCACATCCGTCGTAGTTTCACACCATCCCTTTACGGTGTGTTACGCTCAACACAGCGTAACCAAGGGAAGAAGAGGGGTCTGCGGCGTAATCAGTGCGTAATCAGATAGCAGGGGAATACTGCCAAAAATAAATAACATGGTTTATGAACGGTCCCTTAAGACTGTAGTTGATTCCAGGCCATGTGGTGCAGACGCTGGATGGTTTGCAAGTGGTGTTAGGGCAATGGTCGACCGGTGAATGTGCGGCGCAGGTCTTGGCGAATCTTCGAGAAGTCTACGGACACTCTATGAAGGACGTGGACATCTGGGCGGGTGGTTTGCTGGAGACGACGGACCGGCCAGGACAGCTGTTCAGGGCTATCATCCGGGACCAGTTCAGGCGCATCCGCAACGCTGACCGGTTCTGGTTTGAGAACCACCGTAACGGGTGAGTGGCGACACACATGATGAAGAACGGACGGATAGTTGTGTCGAGGATCTGTGGGTACCTGAGCAGGGAGAGCAGGCATCGGGAGATGGGTGTCGCGTGGAAGTGGCATAGGTGGAAGGGGATGGACAGATAGGAGGGTGGAGGGCTGAAAATAATCTCAAAGTTGTGATCGGGACGTGAAACAGCAATGGTCTCTCGCAGATCTCGAACCGGTTTACTTGTCTGAGTTAGCTGAATCAATATCGCGGCGCAGGACACTGGGGTAGGAATATTAGCTAATAGCAGTCAACGTCCCTTTGGACTCTCAGCCCGGGAAAGCTTACTTAACAGACTTAACAGCTTACTTAACAGATAGTATCCGGCGCACTTGGGAATGCACAAAAGGAAAACAACGGTGAAAGAAAGAGCGTAGACATGCACCCGCTGGTTCCGACAGGCACGCACATACATCCACCTGCACATCCACGCAAACATTTTTTGGGTGATGTCCATACGACGTGTTTGATCGATCGATGCGTTTCGCACACGCTCAAAAAGTGTGGGCATTAGCTGGGGCTATATTCTGACTTTTTTGACATTTTACAAGAAGTGTCACTCTCACTTAGCCCCTGTCTGAAATTCCGACCGCAAGCTCATGCGGTAATTGGTGATGCGTTTTAGTGAATGGGTCTAATTTGCTGACAGCAACTGATGACAGCGTCATACTCCGAAACTACTTTTCTGATCGTGGCGATACATTCAGTCAACGATACTCTTCCTTGGTTTTTTTTTTAAACTGTTACATTTTGGAAGGTGAGAGTAAGCCATGCTTGCTTACAACGGGCTGCAACACGTGAACGGGTGAACGTTTGAAGGCCATCGTTTGGGTGGTTGTCAAGCATGGGTGTGTCAGGTAGGATTAAGATTGTTTTGGCGATTCAATGACCTTTTATTTTATCCAAGGCCACCGAGGTGACAACTTAAATGCAAATCAGTGATTCTGAAACGATTGTAGGTTTTCTGAAAACATCGCCGGCGGTTTTGGTGCCTAGTTCAGGTTAGCTCAGTTGGTTGAGCCACGGACGCATCATCAGAAGACCCCGGTTTAAATCTCAACCATTTCAGGGAGAGAATTCGGGTCGTAACACGTACATGGCGGAAAGCCAAGAATCACTGGGTCCTTATCTAGGCTCTATCACACCTGAAGATAGCTGGAGAGCGTCTGGCCTAGAAAACTGAACGAAACGTTATGTGCGTACGAAGAGATCAAACGTGGATGATAATCCGTACAATTATTTCACCCGTGATGCGAATGTATCGTCGCAATCCTCCATAAAACTAGGCTTGTAGTTCATCGGAGACAGCCATGCTGTATTGCTTGTAACTAGGGTCTCATTTTGTCCTCTTAGTGGATGAGAACAAATCTATCAAATGGTTGTTTTAAATGGGACGACGGTTTGCATGTTTCTGTGTTGCATGTTTGTATTGGTTTGGATCTTGACGCGTGTTAGGTTCCTACTGACGGTTGTCTTGCTACTCCAGACGCTTCACCAAGCAGGAAATAGAGCGCATCAGGAGTCTGACAATCTACGACATCATTCAGTCGGTTACGGCCATGGAGGAGAGCGATATACAGGAGGACCCATTCTCGGTTCTCATGGACGGTAAGACCTGATAAGTCGAGCTCACTTGCCTAACGTGTGAAAAGCATCGCCTATTTACTTGTTTGCAATGTATCTAACCTAGGGTACTTATTGTAAGTGCATATTTTTCGCAAACTTAAGTATAACTGTTATGTGAAGCAGCTTTTAACAAAGCGTGAAAGGTATGTTTTTTACGTGTAAAAGAAGGTGTATACGTGTAAAATAAAGTTTATTAGTTTTAACAGCAAATTACGTATTAACAAGCATTTTTTAATCAGCATGCTCATGCTAAGTTGTGGAATCGTAAAACGCGTTTAACACTTGGGAAAGAGGTGGCCAAACGCTCATTAGTTAGGACGCCTCAACTTGAGATATCTTTTTGCGAAGAGCGTGCATTTTGAAGCTATTGCTTAATACGCGCCCGGGTGGCCGGTTGGATACCCTTCGCTCGGGTGGGCGTTAATTTGACCCCCTGAGATCTCAGGAACTGCGAGAGTTAGAGACATCAAATTCACATGGTGTACTGACCTGCACCTTAATTCACCTAGGTCAACGTTTAAGGTTCTTAGATCATGACTTTCGGGTCAAACAGGGTCAAACAAGGTCAATTTCCGGGTTGGTCTCCAAAGTGCCCCCTAGATACCTGTAGTAGGCAAAAGACCACATGCTCATTTCAGGTCAGTGACCTTGTTTGACCTTTCGAAGATCATGATGACCGAAATCATACAAAACTGCTCTGAGCTCTGCATTTGAATAAGCAACAAAGATTACGCTAGGCAGCATGTTCCTAAAATCATTAAAAAAATGTTGACCTGGGTCGTTTTACGTCAGTGACCTATTTCCACCTTTCAGAAGTTCATGAAGATGTATAATGCGGTTCCTGTTAATATTAAATTCGAAATGGATACCATTAACTACCCCATACAGCCAGCCTTAGAATAATAAAACAGATTGGTTTTGACTTTAGTCTGACCTTCAAAACTGACTTCAGGTCAATGGACTTAGTCATTTGATTGTTGTGTTACCTAAGAAAGTTTCTCAGAATGTATAGCTTCGTCTAATACTCCGTTATGGCGTCAGATTGAACGATTCCCTAGAAATCGACCTCGCAGAAGCCGTGGCCGGACCTTGACCTGCCGCAGGTTGGTGACCTTACAGGGTACATCTTAAGTTTTCAGAGCAAACGATCCGCTATTTAATTGGCCACGCCCCGCTATTCCGAAACCCTTCTGGGAACACCTCCCGGGGGCGGTTTGACCTCTGCCCGAGCGCGTGTTAAACATCTGAAAACTTCACACCCGTCAAATCCGAGACAGTCGCAGATAAATGTTTTGGAGCGTTCAAAACGTAAATGGAGTGAGATTATACAAAACAACTCGCTCTTGTACCTGATTGGCATGCAGTTAGCAAAAACACAAATACCATGCAGACCGGTATGAGGGACCAAGACGCCTCCCGCCGTTTTGTTGATCTGTACACACCCAGTTCATTTAGTTGTAAAAGAAACGTACGTTTTTCAGCAGGATTTCGGCTAATTTGCGTGGTTGGTAACTTGCCTCTCACTCAATAATAAGCCATAATGCACATTTCTCAATGTAGTTCACACTAATGCAAATCTGATGAGGAAGGCTGTCACAGCTCTAGCGACGACATACCTTATTTCGCTTCTGACATTGAACTTCTTTGTCAGATTTCACGTGAATGCTGATCATGAGTTTGTTCTGTCACATGTTTAACATATTTTGGAGACTATCGTGAAAATGCCCCTTGAGCACACTTTGAAAACTCGAAAACAGACTGGGCAGTTTATCCAGAGAAGGGTTTAAAAAAAAAATATGCCTCAAGCACTCAGACCCTCCATGACTACTTTGCACTTCGAATGCTGTTATGCTATCAACAACATCATCACATTTCAAAACTAACGCAAAGAAAAGACACACTATAACATATGCTATCAACATCCGAAACATAGCTCAATACCTCGATGAAAAATACTTTAAAATATCAACGGACCAGTCACATTTTCTAAGCCGAAAGAGAACAAGAGGTGGATGGGGATTACACATTGCAAAAATTGCAATCGTAAACAACAGGAAGGCCTATTTTCTATTTTCCTATTTTCCACGGCCGTCGTCATATGCGCCGAAATCCATTTAAAGAGCCCGCATAGAGTCGCGTTCTGCCAATTATATAATCCATCAACCAGCAACAAATCTACATTTATCACAGTGTTCAAGCAGAGCCTCATGGTGCTGAGTGCGACAAAAACAGACACCTTTTGTTACCAAAGACAACCACTTTGATCTTATTCTGAAAAAACATATGTCTTCGTTCCAAAAATTCCTTCATGTGGTCTCATTGGATTTCTTCCCTGAATCATAAAGGAATAGGACTGACAGTGCCTTTTTATCTATATACATAATGCTCCTCGCAAATGCACTGAGCAACCCACCATATTTTTTATTGAGACCCTAGCTGCTCGTCATAAAGAGACAGTCCGACTCAGATCGGTTTTCCAACTGTGTAACTGATTCCTCTAATGAAGGCCTATCAAGTTGGAAGCATTGCCAACAAACAACACCAGGTGAAATAGGGAATTCACCTCTGCTTGTCATTTGAACCCGTCGAATGGCAACGATCTGGTGTGATATGCATCACCCTTGACAAAATGCACGGATTCAAAAGCCTTTGACACTGTAGTGTAATGACATGACACTGAAAAAAGCCTTTGACACTGTAAACATTAGCCTTCTTCTACGTAAACTTACTAAATATGGTATTCGACGAAAATCTCATGAAATCATTTCTTCATATTTGTCTGGCAGAACTCAATGTGTAAAAATCAGGAATGATCTATCAACAATCAAAAACGTAACAATGGGGGTACTCCAAGGATCCATTCTCGGCCCAATCCTCTTTTTAATGTACATAAATGACCTACCTAAATTAAGCAGTAACATGATTTGTCTGTCTTATGCTGATAATACTGCGATTGTTTTCAAAAATAAAAGTATTGCCGAACTTCAAAACAATGTCAGTACGCTTTTGCTTCTAATGACTTCTTGGTTTGCTGCTAATTTTCTCTCCCTGAACGTATCAAAAACATTCACACAGCATTACACAACCCTTTCTTCGCATTTCCGACTAAATGTGCAAATTAATAATTCACCTATTGAAGAGAAAAAAGAAATTAAATACCTTGGTGTAATCATTGACAAATCTCTTAAGTTTACAAGCCACACTAATTTTGTTGCAAGCATAGTAAGTAGAAATATTGGAATAATAAGTAGGGTTAGGTACTTTATTGATAAAACAACGTCACATCTACTCTATAACACTTTGATTCTTCCTTACCTAAATTACTGCTGCTTGGTTTGGGGCATAAATTATGCTTCTCAACTAGATCGATTGGTAATTTTGCAGAAAAGGGCTGTGCGTCTTATAGAAAATGTGTATCCTCCGCAAAGCTCAGAATCAATCTTTAAACGATACAAAGTTTTGAAACTATCGGATATTGCTAAATCTCAAATGTTAATTGTGATGCACAAATTTTTAACTTCACAGCTCCCTGCATCATTCGATTTAATTTACAATCTCTACGAATCCAATGACATGGATATGAGGCGAGCAAAACATTTAGAACAACCTTTCTCTTATCGTAATTATAGACTATTTACAGCATCCTGCCTTGGCCCTAAGCTGTGGAACAACATTATGGTTCCATATTTTCCAAGAATAGCTGATATCCCTGTATCAAAAACCATCGTTAAGAACATCATCCGCAAGCATTTCGTGAACACATTTTAACGTAACAAACATATTTGAAGACATTGCCATCCTTGTGCTGTACATATCCAACGCACTTCATATTTGACCTCCTTCATGTTTCATAATCAGTTTCTGATATAAAGTCATGCACATATACCCAAATTAATGGCGCTGGCTCCGGGAGTTCTCCCAGCAACAAGCTCTGCTTAGCTGGGTGGACTCCCTGGAAATCCAGCCCAAAACCCAGCACAAAAATGACCAGGTAATTGCCCCCTCCGACTTGTGACTGTATAATCCTTACTAACACCGGGAATTGAGTGGTTGTAGATTATTGGGCGGTTGTAGCGGGCTGTCATTAGCTGATTTTGGCTAATGACTACTTTAAGCCTTTTCATCTATGATTTTTCCCTCCCTCTCACATAACCCAATTCCCTCGGGTCTGCTCCACCTCTTCGCCTGTTTTTTTTAAGTTTGTTTCATCTTCCTAGCTGGGAGTGCCGCGACTTGATTTTATGTTTTCTGGTGTTAACGTACGGTTTACTGCGTCGCTGGGATTGAGGGAAGGGCACTCCTGGTTACCTGTTCTTGGGTAACGGCGTAGAAAAAAAAATGCATGCCCTTTCATCAAAGAGCGAAAAACCGAGGAGATCCCGTCGTTAATAGTCCATGCAATATTCAGTTAGTAAACTCTTAGGCGGCCCTGATATCGCCGTGTTGCACCCGCGCACCCGCGACAAATCTGCAACCGGCATACCGATATAACATGCCGACCAGCCTGGTTGTTTTGAAGGCGCAGTTGGCCCGCGGCTTTGCCATCTATTCCAACGAATTGCGTGTTCTCCTCGGCAGGCAATAACAACCTTTCGGCCACGTGCCAATCGGAGCTGACCGACGGCCAGTTCATGCGGCAAGCGCAGTGTAGTGTCGGTGGAGCGCTGATCAACTGCAGCTTTCTGCACCCGCTGGGCTCCGACGAGGCGCCGATCGAGCCCTGCTCGCCGGCGCGCACCTACGACTACTTCTCCGGCAGCGAGGTCTCGTTCGCGCTCACCTTCCTGTCTGCCTTCCTCGCCATCTGTGGTGAGTAGGCCGGCACCGGCGTCACTGGCGATGACGGCTGCATTGCTGAAGACACGGGATCTTCCCGGCGCAAAAATGGATGTGGTGCGGCAAGCAAAACACCCCCATATCTAGAACCATCCGGTAAATTTGACAACAATACACCCAGTGGTGTCTGTTACACTTATTTCGCTTTCTTCCAAATAGAAGGCTGCGTGAATTATCTGATGAGCGAGGAGTGGAGGGATGGCGAATGGATACAACTGACTGAAAACGGGTAAGGCTGGATTTAAAGGCGATTTAGCGTACAATGCTTCCGCTCGCTAAATCTCGTAGACATGGTCAGTGAGCGCGACCTTGGGGACATTGATACTAAAACATTCGTAAGCCGACACGAACTGGATTATTGCGTCAGGCGTCAGGGAGGGTGCCGATATAGGATACATGCGTCTGGTGACCTCTCCCGTGCGTCAGGGAGGGCACCGATATAGGATACACGCATCTGGTGACCTCTCCCGTGCGTCAGTGAGGGTGCCGATATAGGATACATGCGTCTGGTGACCTCTCCCGTGCGTCAGTGAGGGTGCCGATATAGGATACATGCGTCTGGTGACCTCTCCCGTGCGTCAGTGAGGGCACCGATATAGGATACATGCGTCTGGTGACCTCTCCCGTGCGTCAGTGAGGGCACCGATATAGGATACATGCATCTGGTGACCTCTCCCGTGCGTCAGGGGGGGCACCGATATAGGATACATGCGTCTGGTGACCTCTCCCGTGCGTCAGTGAGGGCACCGATATAGGATACATGCGTCTGGTGACCTCTCCCGTGCGTCAGGGAGGGTGCCGATATAGAATACATGCGTCTGGTGACCTCTCCCGTGCGTCAGGGAGGGTGCCGATATAGGATACATGCGTCTGGTGACCTCTCCCGTGCGTCAGTGAGGGCACCGATATAGAATACATGCGTCTGGTGACCTCTCCCGTGCGTCAGGGAGGGTGCCGATATAGGATACATGCGTCTGGTGACCTCTCCCGTGCGTCAGTGAGGGTGCCGATATAGGATACATGCGTCTGGTGACCTCTCCCGTGCGTCAGTGAGGGTGCCGATATAGGATACATGCATCTGGTGACCTCTCCCGTGCGTCAGGGAGGGTGCCGATATAGAATACATGCGTCTGGTAACCTCTCCCGTGCGTCAGTGAGGGTGCCGATATAGGATACATGCGTCTGGTGACCTCTCCCGTGAGTCAGTGAGGGTGCCCGATATAGGATACATGCGTCTGGTGACCTCTCCCGTGCGTCAGTGAGGGTGCCGATATAGGATACATGCGTCTGGTGACCTCTCCCGTGCGTCAGTGAGGGTGCCGATATAGGATACATGCGTCTGGTGACCTCTCCCGTGCGTCAGTGAGGGTGCCGATATAGGATACATGCGTCTGGTGACCTCTCCCGTGCGTCAGTGAGGGTGCCGATATAGAATACATGCGTCTGGTGACCTCTCCCGTGCGTCAGTGAGGGTGCCGATATAGGATATTTGCGTCTGATGACCTCCGAATTAAATGCCCCAACCCTCGTGCCGCCAGCATGGCAGGCGGGAGGTACCCGGGCAGGGAATGGAAGGCTTATCAGTCCCCGGATGGAAAAGGTAAGGATCTTCTTGTTGTACAATGCACAGAACCCCTCAAACGACGTGGCAGACGGCACTATTGACTACTAAAAAACGAACAAAATGAAGGCCCTTTCAAATTAAAGTCAGACAAATCCAACATTCTTGTGCAAGGAGCTTCCACGGACTCTTCTTCGAGTTCTTTTTCTCCCTCCCTTTATGAAAACCCCTGTTACGTCTCTTGGCCTGGAGCCCTGACCCCTATCATCCAATCGCGCAATTCCAGGCAACGGCAGAATTTAGTGGCGAAAGTTCGACTTGCCACAATGCCCAGCACAGTCAGTCCTGCTCTCTGCCACCGCTACTACCGGCCGCAGACCATATCTGTCAAGGGCAAATAGCGAGCGCTTAAAGCGACTCGAACCCACCCCGCCGCGGGTGGCGGATCGGAATGCGCATGCGCTAACTGAGCCATCGGAACGCGGGCGCTGATGGAGACGGATGAAAATCTTATGCAACGGTAAAACTTCCAAACAAAGGATAGCGCTGCATCGGCTAAGGTTCCACATATAATTCAAAACGAGCCTTAGATAGTGGAAATGCCCGACACTATCAAATAAGTCACAATCTGCTAAGGGGATTTCGATAGATGGTTTGAATGAAGCCGATGGCGTTGTCTGCTAGCGATCTGGTCGTCTGGTACATCGTCTGGTAAGAAGCAGAAGATTCATCGTCATGAACTACGAAACTTACGCTTGCATTAAGGACTGAATGTTCGCGAGAAACTACCTGATTTTTTAAAGTAAATATTTCAGACCTTGATTTAGACTTCAAGCCTACAGCATTACAGAACTGCTTTAACGCGCTGGTCTGCACAACCTGATCGTGCAATTCTTGAACCAGTGTTTAAAATGTTACATTCCAAGCAAAACATCTGACCCGTTGGCTAACATTGTTTTGAATTATATGGTTTCACAGAAAAGTGTCATGTTTTCAACACAAAAAACTTCCAGACCGCTCGCGGCGCAGATCCAGAGCGCGACTGAAACTGAGAACGGCCATTTTATCATTCCGCTACAGCTTTAGTAAATCCCGAGCATTGTCGAACACGCTGACTGATTACATGGCCGATCCTGCACATGGCCTGCCACCCGTCTCGGTAGATGAATCAGTCGACATGACAGGTCGACAACATCAACAAAATTCCCAGAACAGCGCCAGATTGAGACAATGTAGTAGTTAAGGAAATATTCGTAGCACCTGGAGGCCGAGGAGTTTAAAGAGAAGAGACGTGGTCAAAGATTTTCCAAATTGCAGGCGGTCTCCAGGTATCTCAATGATGAGTGGTACAAAGACTATCCTTTAGGGTCACGTTGTTTAGGTTCCGTAGCCTTCACGCTGTTGCGGAGCGGAGGAGTTGAAGACCACTGGCGGTGAGCAAGAGGTGGTGCTTCAGCTTGAAATAGAGACTAGCTAAAGCTGAACACAAACGGCATGTTTTTCGCAGCCTCTCCCCACCGCAGTGTCACCCCGTCAATCACTGCTAGCGTATGCTTCCACTCGCTCGCTTCCTCATTGACACCTTTGGTCTATCACCCACGCCTTCAAACCGCCTAGAACCTCTCACCATTGGGCTTGCCTTAAGCCTGTAAGGCATTGCCGTGAAGCATCTTGATCGAGCCTTCACAAACGTGGTCCGGAACTTTCCACTTCACAGTCACCTTTCTGCTGTGTTACACTTATGTATGATGTGACAATAACCCATCACAAGAAAAATGTCTGTGCATGGTTAATTCTCACCATTTCCACAGGTCTCGGTGTGCTGCTGCGTGTGCTGGCTCAGCGGCGTCAAAGGGGGAATTCAACGGTCAGGGCACCCAAGACCACTGTCATCGACGATAAGGGCACAGGCCTTACCATCCCAGGTGAGTTCGTGTTCCCGCTAAGTGAGTGTTGAATTGTGTGGCTCAACCCGGCTGTTGCTAAACCACTAACCCGGCCGTATTGACGATACGCCGAGCGGTAGAAGTCGTTGAGGTGTTGAGGTGAGTCGTCAGAACCACCCGGTTCTGACAGCTGCGATTGGGGTGACAACGAACAAGCGTTGGTTGATTTCGAGTAGGTGATGATGTGAAGGCCTTGTTCGCGGGCCTCCTTAGATCTCAAGCTTTGTGAAGCCCGCCAGCTCGAGGCCATTTTTTAGCTTATCTGTGTTGGATGCCTTGGGCTGCGACGTTATGCTGCCCGATAGGTTATGTTTTTGACATGGCTCTGATCTTTTTACCCAGATAAAAAATTGTCACTTGTATGCGAATGAGTTGGGCAGCGATGCGGTGCCTTCTCGCTGTCGCTGAGCGCTGGCACGAGGCATGTGCGGCTCGGCCTGACACCGCGCGCCCCTCGCCCCGCGGCCGTCGGCAGCCGTGGAGCGTGTCTCGCGCACAGACTCGCGTCAGGTGGCGGTGCGGCTCAACAAGACCGGCCGGCTGATCGAGGTGCTGACCATGCGGGGTGCGCTACTGCGCTCCATCGACCTGAGCGGCGCTGAGCCCCACCTGGCGCTAGTCACACCCACCGATGGCGACCACCTCATCATCAAAGTGCCCAAGGAGTACGATCTGGTGGGTGCCGGCGGCCGACCGGGTCGGGCGGCCAAGCCTGGTCACTCTTTCGGGACTGATTGCGGAGATGGCGGAGAGATGGAAGGACGGGAGCGGCGGGGCGGGCTGACCACCGCACGAGAGTCAAACGAACCATTCCTCTCCCGAGGGATGGCTCGTGACTCTTGACTCGAGCGGCAGCCATTAAATGTCTCTCAAATCAACTGCCAGCAGCTTTTAAAGCATATCGAGCTTTTATATTTAAAGCATATCGAGCATATCAACTGCCAACAGCTTTTAAAGCAAACACGATTTTTCGTTGAGACCATTTCACTGGTGTTTTTAGCTACAATCTATCCTTCCTGGTCTGGACTCTCCCCTATCAGTCCGTGTTTAAAAAAAACGGCTAATCAGGGTGAGAGTTAGCCTTTTCCCTGCGGATCTTTTCACCTTTACCCCGCGGAGAGTGCCCCAAAGTCCTCCTCTCCCTTCCCCAACGTCTCAAACACCAATTAAGCTAGGGTCACAGAGAAAAGGACATGAGAATACTCCCGTTAATCTACATCAGAAATTTGCGACGGAATAGTGACAGCTTTGAAAACCATCCGATGGATACTAATGGACATCGACGGGATACCGTGGCGTGGTTGCACTCAGTGGGCTAAGGTCTCAGTTGTCCTCACCCGTCCAGCCGTATAACAAAACTAAACAAGTCACATCGTTGGGTGCAAAGGCGCAACAAGGCCTCTTGATGCCACAAAGCATGTGCTATCAACATTCGACCCTCCATCGTCTTTCTCGCTTTCTTCTGAATCGTCACGACGCCCCGCTTGTCCGGGCAGGCTGCATGCGCCAGCCACGGTTGGGCCGAGAGTTTCGTGGAGGGGGACCCGACTGGGTGTCCGGCGCACAAGCCACGGAGGTGTCGGCCGTTGGCCCCCAGGTGCATATAGTCCTGCCCCACGGTTATCCATTCTCCTTCATGCTATAGCCCTGAAATACCCGGGTTGTGGTGTCTCCCGCCCATGTGGTGTTTCCCGTTCCGTATCATGAGTTATGAATGCAATGTGGTCTTGCAATAACATGAGCACCATAAGTCAATAATTCTGAAATAAAAAGGTCGTGAGCAAAGAACTGCAACCATTTGTTCTAGCTCCACTTCAGAAATGAACATCTCTAAAGTACGCAAGAGCCACCATCATCGTGCTTGACATTGACATGCAGATGGCGTCTGATGGCAGGTGCTGATGTTCAATGGCCTGTTCCTGAGGAACCAGTTCCTTAGCACGCTGGACGGCTTCATCAGCGAGTGTGGTGGCTCCAAGACCGTCGAAACCATGACCCTGAAGCAGGCGCTGGACCACGTGGTCAGCAAACAGGATCGCCAGAAGCGACTGGAAAGCTTCTTCCGAGTCGTGTTTGCGCAGGTATGTGCATGCATGACGTTACGCACGAGGCACCGTCGAAAGGGTCATCATGCCATCGGAACGGGTCATGAGCGACCAGGTCATCGACTGGGGCGCGGTGGCGCCGCATTATGATAGTATTATGCATAGAGATGAGACAGCATTAATAGCCTTATTCCTCGTAGAATAAATAGGAGAATGGAGAAATGGATTTCATTTTTGTCTACATGCTTTCATCAAAGCGAAGGTGAAATGAAAGGTGGTATCACACTTATCTCTCCATTATCATGTTTATTCTATGGGGAATAAGGCTGTTAGTGCTGTCTCATCAATAAATCATATTCAATTATCACATCATTCATTTTGTTTCAAGATTCAAGGCGGCATAATTGTCAGAGAGGCAAGGAGGCAAACGAGCATATGCACTTTGAACAACTGTCTGGTCTTTTTGATTGTGGCAAACTTTGATAATTTTTTATAAAAAAAGGAAACAAATATATGCACCGTTTGGTTAAGTTGTCAGAATCATGTAATGCATTCTGGCAACGATCATCATGCAGGTGTTACGCAATGAAGAGCAGAACTGGGCAAACATCATCACAGTCTAGTAAACACACATCACAATGACGATTGCAATTTGGAGGCGATGGCGGTGCAGCTCAAATGCTGCATGCAGATGCTGGTAGCTCAAGTTCATGACTTTACTTCACCATTGGAGATTAGTGTCGCTTACACGCAAGTGCCCACAAGCAAAGCCTGTTGAGAGATGAGCAACCATCAAGTACAGCTCCTCTACAATAGCCGCGGTGCAAGCTATAGCTATCGGTGCCTATCTCTTTTACGTTGTTCTCGCCCGGCGTGACCGTGCCCCCAGAAATTCACTGCAACTTGCAGAATGAGCGTCAGACATATGTCCATGTGGTGGTTCGTACTAACGTAGTCTTGCAGTTGTACGCGCCATAGCTCTGGCATAAAGGAATAAGTGGACATGTGTGACCTAGCGTTAACTTTGATGATCGGACCCTTAGCATCAGGCGTTATCAGGTCCACACCACATGGTCAGAATTGATTACATTTGTGACACATATAAAAAAGAAAATCAGAAGAGATGTCTTAATCGGTAACATTAATAACAATGACAAGTACCATGTCCCAGTTGCCAACAGGTGAATTGTGTTGTAAATTGGAAAGGTAACTGACTGACAAAACCTTCATAATTGGTCATAGGTCATGATTCATTGGAACAAAAGTGCTGAAAAAACTGATGGATAATTACAAATGGCACAGTCAGTTGCTGGAAAATATGTGTGGATAAGACAATAGTATTAGCCTTATTCCCCGGAAAAACCAGGAGAATGGAGATATAGTTGGGTTGCTATTTCCGCAACATGCTTTTATCGAAACAATAGCAGAAGTAAATTCACTTCTGCTATTGTTTCGCTAAAGGCACGTTGCCAAAAGATCAGCCCAACTATATCTCCATTTTCCCGACTTTTCCGAGGAATAAGGCTAATGCCATTTTCTTTCTATGTGAATAACGTTCCTCGCTAATGCACTGAACAACTTACGCAAAAATCTGTGTCTTATCTTTCATGGCTGCCAAGTCCTGTAAGACAACCCTCAGGTGGCCTGACAGACCCGCCTCGTCGAGTGAGGGCTAATGGCTGCCGACCTTCTCAAGGTCAACCTCAGAGTGAGGCTTGTCAGGCTTTGTCAGGCCCCTGTCGTCGGGCGAGGGCTAATGGCTGCCGACCTTCTCAAGGACAACCTCAGAGTGAGGCTTATCAGGCTTTGCCAGGCCTCTGATGTCGGGCGAGGGTTAATTAGTAGACAGGGACCTAACTGTGTGCCAAAGATGAAGTTCACGAAAAGTAAGATCAGCGTGAAGGCTTGTCATGAAATGTCGTGATGATAATCAAAATAGATGGTTCTTGTTACTACGAAAGATCGTTGTTTCATCCTCGAGTATATATTGGGTTCATGGGACCACATTCCCAATCGTTAAATAACAAATGGCTACATGCTAACGAAAGTAATACGCCTCCATACCGTTCCATGTGCATTTTATATTTGTCGTATTATAAATTATATAGTTATTACATGTGTACTCCTATTTCATATTCTTCGTACCGTACACTTCATATTTCTTCCATGTGTATTTAACATTCGGTGCCACATAAGGCCCCTTGTCTAATGAGGTCATCGAGAAAAGGATTTGTGCGTCCTGGGCAAATGATAGTATTGCTGTCACGCTTTGTGATAATTGCTCAGGTCACGTGCTTGCTTTCGATAAGACGTCCCGAATCACGGAGCACTCGTGTTCAACAAAATTAGATAATGTAATGACGGTGCCGCGAGACAACAGGAAGTGGCTTCGAAAAGCATACGTCTTGCGCATGGGTGTAAACTGAAACCATTCTGCCCAGTCATGTAATCTTAGGCCTGTGGGGCGTTAGCCGCGCGCCTCCGTCGGATTTATGCTATTAGGGTTTGGCGGAAGCTCTGTGTTTGGAGCTCGCCATATTCGCGTGCTCTGGTGACGGACTTCTCGATATAAGTCCACTGCATCTCTACCAGCCAACGACACACGCGGCAAATCATGACGTAGTCAGAAGCGGCATAAGCAAGCCGCTACCGACTACGAGCTGGTGTGTTGGCTGTCTTGCGCCAACCGCCCTTCTCTCTCACCAGGCCTTCGACATCAACCACAACTCACGGGAGCTGCTGAACGTGGATGCCAGCGGGATGCGAGACGTCATCCACACGGAGCTGACGCTGGCCGAGTTTGCGGACGCGCTCAGCGTCTCCAGCTCCTCCAGCTTCGTGACCAAGGTCCGCCTCGTCCTGACCCGCCAATACTTATCGCACTGGCCCTTGGCCCGCCACACCGGCGGTAACGGCCGCATCCGGGCTGGTGCACGGCCCGTCCAGACTCTGGCCATATCTGCGGGTCCGTCAAAGGTCCCACATTAGTCGTGCATACAAGTATCATTGATAACGCTTCACGCATTGATAGTGCATATTAATATCATTGGTTGTCGCTTAGCCATATCAGGAGCGCGCGCGCTTGCACGTGCACTAAGCTGTCCACCTAGCACCGCGAAAAACCATTACGCGACAGTGCGATGGGATATAGCATATATGACCATGAATTATTGTGCGCATTTTTCAAACAATGGTCCAGTGAGATCACTGATAGGTGCCGCTGCCTGGAGAGCTTGCAGCGTGGTTTGTATATGAAACATCCTGTTGTAATTCTATGCATATTTACGTTGAATAGCTTATTGGCTCTAAATTGAAACATAATCAACGTGCACCATATTCGCCGTGGTAAGTCATATTCAGGTCACAGGAAGCATTGGATGAGTCGACCTACCCTGGCTTATCCACATTCAATTGACATTGACCCCTTTTCTACATAGTATGGTAAAGATCATGACGATCTGCTTATTTTGATCAATGGACACGACTCAGGGTCACAGTTAATCCGCGTTGTTCTACTTTTGTTCGCAAAAGCATAGTGATCCCAACCAGAAAATCACTGGCCGTTCTATAGTGTTGAATCCGGTTGCCGTTGGATTTTTAAAGTAAAGATCTTTGCGAGTTTGTTTATGCTGTTTTCCGCTTTTCTAGCTCAATTTGGATTAACAAAGCAAGGGCTGCTTACCTGCATTCGGCTGTGCGCCGTGTGTGTGTATGAGTGTGTGTGTGTGTGTGTGTGTGTGTGTGTGTGTGTGTGTGTGTGTGTGTGTGTGTGTGTGTGTGTGTGTGTGTGTGTGTGTGTGTGTGTGTGTGTGTGTGTGTGTGTGTGTGTGTGTGTGTGTGTGTGTGTGTGTGTGTGTGTGTGTGTGTGTGTGTGTGTGTGTGTGTGTGTGTGTGTGTGTGTGTGTGTGTGTGTGTGTGTGTGTGTGTGTGTGTGTGTGTGTGTGTGTGTGTGTGTGTGTGTGTGTGTGTGTGTGTGTGTGTGTGTGTGTGTGTGTGTGTGTGTGTGTGTGTGTGTGTGTGTGTGTGTGTGTGTGTGTGTGCGTGTGTGTGTGTCACATATTCGGGAACTACATATATCGGCTGCTGGCGGCATGACAACATCCCGCGCAGCATGCAAGCGAAAATGGCCGCCGCTCGGCTAGTTTTTATATACTTTTGGCAAGCCATGACTGCTTCCATGAATCTGGCGCTATTGAAAACAAGGTGCCAAGGAGCGGATTTCATATTGTTCCCAGCCATGCACGAACTCGCATTATTTCCTGCTAAACCAGGAAAATGGATAGCTAGGTGAGTTGATATTTCGGCAACATGCCTTGATCGAAACGAATATCAGTAATAAATTCGAAATTGCACACCAATCGTACTCAGCTTTTCCGGTTTTTTTTTAAGCCGCAAGCCACAGTTTACACAGATCACTAACATTCAGGGAATCAAACAAGGAGCAGTTGTCAGGTATTGCTACGATACAGTGTGCACGTCTAAGAATTAGAATACGCGAAAATACGTGTACATACAAACGGATTAAAGCGAACAGGCATCACGCAAAACGCTTCATTCAAGCATGCAAGCGACTTCAAGTAAACGGGCATCCCGCATCACGCATCAGTCACGCATGCAAACAATTTCAGTCAAACAGGCATCGCGCATCACGTGTCAGGCGTCACTTATATATGTAAACGATTTTAGGCTAGCACGTATTACACATCAGGGCATTTAGCACATTCGCATAATCGGGCATGGTCAACCCTGCACGTTAAGGCCTGGTTACTGACTTTTTAGAAGAATAGGTTTGCGTATTTCCTGTATGGATGGTCCTGTGCTCTGTAGATGACTTTGAGCTTTACAAAGCGTATGGGCTGCATACCTTCATAGAGTTCAGCCTAAACTTTTATTGCCAAAAGTCACCGAAAGAGATATTTCCTGCTTTGTTTTTAGTCTCTAACAGTTGTTCATTGTGTCAGAAATGAGTGGGGAGCACGGACTCTCTGACACACACCACCATGTCCATTCCCTGTTTTCACACAGTTTACCTATGCTTTCGTAAACCACGTTTTCACGTGCAAGCCCCTTGAAACTCAGAAGTGAATACTAGTGGTCTGAATAAACTGTGGCTCGTGGGTTAAAAAGTCTAAAAAATCAAGCGGCATCGGCAGGCGATTTTGAATTAACTACTGACATTCGTTTCGATACGAGCATGTTGCCGAAATATCATCTCATCTATTTCTCCATTCTTCTCGTTTTCCTACGATGAATAAAACTATTACTTCTGTCTTATCCATATGCATGATGTTCCTCGAAAATGTACTTAACAACTTACGGGTCTGTCTCGACTCTAATTCCCAGCCACCAGTATCGGATGCACACAGCTGTCAGTCGTCACTGGAAAGTGAAAACACACATTATGCGTAAATAAATAGCAATGGGAATAGGTCTGCACAACCAAATGGATGCAAGTGAAAATTAAATTTGTGAAGATTGCTCTGCAGATGTGTCACCGTTTTCCGAGCATGGGCGGGTTTTTTAGTGTCAATTTACTGCGCCTGATTGTTGTGTCTTGATGGGAATGTTGCCTTGTGTCGATCAGATGTTCGCCGTGGTGGATACGGACCAAAACGGCTTCATCTCGTTCCGCGAGTTCCTCGACATGATGGTGCTGTTCGCCAAAGGATCGGCCGAGGACAAGGCGCGCTTGATGTTCGACATGTACGACATTGACAACGTCGGCAAACTCAGCCGCCAGGATTTCCTCGAGATGATCAGGTGCGTGGGCTGTGGGGCTCCCACCATGCTGCCTGAGAGAGACAACCAGACCGGGGTGGCTGTGGAGCTGTGATGCGCACTAGCGAATGATCAGATGGGTGGGCTGTGGGGCTCCCACCATGCTGCCTGAGAGAGACAACCACACCGGGGTGGCTGTGGAGCTGTGATGCGCACTAGCGAATGATCAGATGGGTGGGCTTTTAAGCTCCGCTGCTCTTTTCTTTGAGATGCTCAGTTTTAGCGTGCTTTAGGACTACACTATGCGCTGGGAAATTGCAGTGATTACGTCAGCCTGTAAATGGACGTTGAATAATCGGTGGTCTTCCGCAATATGGTTTCTGACCAAACAGGAAACCGCAGGGCTTATAGGTCAACCATCCACTCTTATAAAACATGTTGCATTGCGGGGTAGTGGTGAGGACATCATTTTCATTTCCTAGAAAACTCAGGTGATAATCATGCTGATATACAGGGCTTGCTATAGCAGAGCAAAATTTCTTTAGCGACTCGTACTTTTCAGGTCAACAGCGTTTTGCCAGTTTTTCATAAAAGGGATCCATTTGTGTTCGCCAAGGCAAACTACTAGGCCAAACGTCTTAGGTGAACTTTTTTTAAAGTACAGTGCATCTTTCCCCCATCATGATTAATGTGATGTGCCACCAGTCATGTGATGTGGCACCAGTGATGTGCCATGGTGTGATGATATGACTATGTCATGAACGATTCTCATCGCTCACCGCGGTGCTGTGGCGTATTGGCCTTCGCGCACACAGATCCCTTTTGGAGCTCTCGAACGCCTCGTTGGAGCAGCGGAATCTGGACCAGGTGGTGGAGACACTGTTCGCCTCGGCGGGGTTCAACGACAAGGACGAGATCACCGTGGACGACTTTCAGCGCATGTTCGGCGAACACCGCAAAGAGCTTGACTTTGCTCAACTACACGTGGCCGGTATGAATCCGTTATTGTTATGGTGGGACTGGTGGCACTGGTGGCACTTGTGGCGCACTCCGCACTGGTGGCACTTGTGGCGCACTCTGCAATGGTGGTACTGATGGCACTTGTGACAATTGTGGCGCACTCCGCGTTGGTGGCACTTGTGGCGCACTCTGCACTGGTGGCACTTGTGACGCACTCCGCACTGGTGGCTCAGTCATTTATCCTTTGCGTAAGATCTTTTCGGGGTGCCACTGCGTCTCCCAGCTTATTTCTGGAATACAGAAAATACGAGTGTGCCTCGGGCCTTCTTAGCTGCAATAATATATTTTCCTCTTCCGCGCCGTCTTCTTGTCAGCTATTGTGACTGCAAGCATGTTTTCGGGTTGTTTCGTTGCACTAGACCAGCGCACATTGATCCGTTTACTTCTATAGGTGCTTCCAAAAACCTATGCGCTGGCCAGCAATAGTTGGGGTTGATGTGTGAGAAATTATGCAGGACAGCACCGCGAGAGTGACCACAGACTTAACGATCTTATTGACAGTCACCACAGTCTCACTGTCGCACTACGCTGACTGTCAGTAACCGCAGTCTCTCCGTCGCAACATACTGACGACTGGTGACCACAGTCTCACTATCGCACCGGACTGGCCGCCGGTGACCACAGTCTCACTACCGTGCCGGACTGGCCGCCGGTGACCACAGTCTCACTACCGTGCCGGACTGGCCGCCGGTGACCACAGTCTCACTATCGCACCGGACTGGCCGCCGGTGACCACAGTCTCACTACCGTGCCGGACTGGCCGCCGGTGACCACAGTCTCACTACCGTGCCGGACTGGCCGCCGGTGACCACAGTCTCACTACCGTGCCGGACTGGCCGCCGGTGACCAGTCTCACTACCGTGCCGGACTGGCCGCCGGTGACCACAGTCTCACTACCGTGCCGGACTGGCCGCCGGTGACCACAGTCTCACTACCGTGCCGGACTGGCCGCCGGTGACCACAGTCTCACTACCGTGCCGGACTGGCCGCCGGTGACCACAGTCTCACTGTCCTACCGGACTGGCCGTCGGTGATCACAGTCTCACTGTCGCGTCACGCCGACCGCCGGTGACCTCATTCTCACTGTTGCAGCACGCCGACCGCCGGTTACCACAGTCTAACTGTCGCTCTGTGCTGACAGTCAGCGGAAACGGTTTGTTTCAGGTGCCTCCAGCGAGCGGCAGCCGGGCAAACGGCTACCCGAGCGCGCGCGGTACACGATGCTCTCCCTGTACGGGTAAGCATAACTGGACGGAACTGGCACAGTACACCAGGCTACTCTAGGCATGGGTGCATAACGATTGCCTCTAAAATATGCATGAAATTTCGTCGATTTTTGATAATAATTGAATCTTAATTTATTCAGACATTCTTGGTGTCGCATGATTCAGTTTCTGAGATGGGACGGCTGAATGAGGTGTCAAGAGAGCCGCAACTTCACCTCCAACCCGCCTTTTCCAAGTTCATCTAATCCAAAGCATTGTTCAATCTCACCTCCCGCCGCCATAGATCAATTGGGGGGACCTCAGTGGTGTTGCAAAAATGAGCCTGTCTGATCCAGGTGAAAACATATGGGGTGTCTGTGCGACATCTGAAAAACGAAATGCTCATTCCGAACCACCGGTTCCTGGTTCCTGAATCAAAATAATCTGTTGGCAAATGAAAAGGTTGTTAAGGATCCAGGAAAATTCAGAACCCAACACTAAATTATGCTCATGTAACCATGAAAACGGATTTAGCCCAAACGAGCCGACATATCGAGTGGGAACCAAAATCAGTGTATGGCCCTGCGTGGTGTTCTAGCAAAAACCAAGATCCAACCAGGAGCACATATACTTTGGAATCCAAGGTTATTTCTTGCACAGTTTAATACCATGTGTGCAGGGTCTTGGGTGGAATATGAAATAACATCATGTGAAATTACTATTCAACTTTGTCTACCAATCCTGTATGACATAATGCAGTTTGTCAGATGCAGCTGTCAGTCAGAACCCCACAGAAAACCTGCAAGAAACGTGTGAGAAAAAATAGGATATTATGTAGACAACGCGCAGTATTCTGGGAAGGGATGAGAGAAGTGTCTTTTCTGTCACCGATAAAATTTGGAACCGTCTGAGTTGTCATTTGGAGCCGAATCTTTCAGAAATCGTTGTAATATAAGTCTAAATGAAATTAAACACAAAACAAAGATAAATTTAATGCAATACTGCATAACCATGAAGCTTTTTGTTCCGGGAGTTCGTTTGCACTTACGTATCATTTGCTGGCAATGAAGCACTGAATGATGATAAACACGCGCTCGGGTGGCCGATTGGATGCCCCTCGGTCGGGTGGGGGTCAGTTTGACCCGCTGAGATCCTAGAAACTAAGAAAACTAGACACCAAATGCACAGGGTGTGTTGACCTGTAGGTGAATTCACTTCGGTTAAAGTTCGCGTCTCCTAGGTCGTGACCTTTGGGTTAAATAAGGTCAAACAAGGTCAAACACAAACCTGGTCTCCCAAAGTGTCCCCAGAACCAAGATACCTATTCTAAGCAAAAGGTGACATGCTTACTTAAGGCCAATGACACTGTTTGACCTTTCGAATGTCATGGTAACCCAAATGATAGAAGCCTGCTTTGAGTTTTGCATTTGAATACGCGACAAGGATTAAGCTAAGCAGTATGTTCAAAAGAACAAAATGTTGACCTGGGTACTTTCAGGTCAGTGACCTATTCTGACTTATACAATGTTCATGGGAAACGTCTAATAAGGTTCACGTTGTCAATGAATTCGAAATGAGCACCAGAAACTACCCAAAACAGCAAGCCTTAGAGTAAAAATACAGGTTGGCTTTGGCCTTGGTCTGACCTTCACACCTGCCCTTAGGTCAATACAATTTGGTCATCGGATTCTTGTGTTGCTTAGGAAAGCATCTCAGACATGCGTGGCTTCGTCTAAAATCCTGTTGTTGCATCAGGTTGAACGATTCCCTTGGAAATGACCTCGCCGAATCCATGGCCTGACGTTGACCTGCCGTAGGTCAGTGACCTTACAAGGTACGATAAATTATTTGATGCCACGCCATCCGCTATAAAAAATTATACAGCTATACAACATTTGGCGTGCTTCGCCGCACCTTTCGGAAACCATTCCGGAAAAACCTTGGGAGGTCAATGTGACTCCCGCCCGAGCACGTGTTAAGACTTAACTAATAAAATAATCAGATAAAGGCACACTTCACATTACCAGCTCTGAGGCGTGTAGTTTCCTGTTCAGTTAAGGGGGGATTGTGCTTTTGAACTATCAATGTAGTTTCCTATTTGTATTTATAATTTTGAAGCATTATATTCATTCATAATAATTTTTAGGGTTTGGCGCTCAAAACTGATTTCTAGAAACTACACCCCTGCTCCGAAGTGTGAAGAGGAAGTGCGTCAAATCGGTGAAGAAAACTGTTTGAGTGCATTTTGGAGGCAGGATCAGTCATTTGTTCTTGCCCCTCCCCCGTCCTCCATCCCTCAACCCTACGAATTTCGCAAAACTGCATCCCTGTAGCCATATATTTACCAACAACATGGCTCTACAAGCACCTGACGACAATGTCACCTTTGGTCTTGTGACGTCATCGTACAATCAGCTGAGCGCGCAAGCGACCTACACTATCCTCACATAATCATTACCGGTGCAGAACTCACACTTTCTAACATGATCCCAATCATTTGGAGTAAAGTCCATTTAATATTGGTATCAACAGACGCAAATGACATTTTCGAGCACCGCTACCACCTTCAGCTTTATATGTAATATGATGAAAATAAAAAGCATAGATAAGACAATAGTAATAGCCTTATTCCTCGGAGAAAAACCACGAGAATGGAGATATAGAATGGGTTTTAGGCTGCATTTCTCCGAGGAATAAGGCCGTTACTTCTGTCTGATCTATCTTATCATTCCTCGCAAATGCACAGAACAACTTACGAAAATAAAAGGCATTTTATCTGACGCCTGTCGATCGATCAGTACGCTAAGCCAGAGGTGCAACGGGCAATGTGAGAGACCTACAAAAGTGATGTTCAGTCTCTTATCTCAAAGCCGCTATTACCCTCAGCGGCAGAAAGCCCCGGATGATTTTTTTGGCATGTATCGTTTCAACGTCCTCTGTTTACCTCTGGAGCCTCAGCTCAGGTATCCACACACGACGATCCTCCTTGATCGACAGGGCTTTCTAATGCTATCACATTAAAAAGCTGACGATTAGCTACGTTCTTCTAGCCAGTCAGCTTCTCACAACATGAACACGACCAGCAGCAGTCCACAGCCTTGCACTGAACCCAACGCCTCACCACACGTCGAGCGTTCGATCCCATCTGTCTCAAACGGCACGGCTTAAAACGCTGCTTAGCAAACTGATGAAGTTTGTCGCAAGATGCTGCGGCCAGCCACGGTTTTTACTGCTAGTAATAAGCCTAGTTATTTGGCATTTTGTACTGCTTAGTATGTGAAGTGAACCTTGGCCGAAAAATCTGTGAAAAGCACAGATCTGAGGGGCATTGGAAAAGCACTGTGTCGCCACTGATACCTGACGTCAGCACTGATATGGTATAGTTTATAGTATATTGCTGGCATCTGCTAAAAATATCCTGATTAAAACTACTTTATCTGGCAGCACTTATTGCTCAATTTGCACATACAGCGAAACGTCAACGTTTCGACATGTTATGCCAGACACCTCTCCAACTCACTCCAGGTTATCTAGGGGACCGCTCTAACTCACCCGCTCCAATCATACTGTTATATTACAGGCACAATATCATTCTACGTGCACAACGTCTCCCGGGGCAGTAGCGGAGCTCATTGCCATTGAGCCTCCAGTAGGGCTTGGCAGTAGGACAGGATTGTGGCCCTCGGGAAGTGCCCCGAGTCGTCGGCCGTAGGTGAGTTAGGGCACAGCCCTTTAGCCGTCTCCTGTGGCTCAAAGGGAGGACGGGGATACGCAGACCGCTTATCTCGTCATTCGGGAGCTAGGGCCCGGCTGATCCCTCGTCCGCGCTCCGTGCCTGGCCTCTGCTCGGCCCCACCATGGGCCACCGCTGACTAGCCAGAGGTCGAGGCCACGCGGCTTAGACTGGCCCGCAGCGCCGGCGGCCGGGGCGCGGCCGTAACAAGCGGCATGATTTGCGGTGCATGGCGTGGGCACGCCGCCCAGAACAGCGCACCTGGGCACCGCACTGCACTCTGGTGTGACAGACATGTGTTCTGCACATGCTCACGCTGCAAGTGTTAACGAGTACAGACCGATAGTAAGCCTTGAGTTTCGTTTAGCTGGGATAGTAAGTTGTCATGTGATCCTGTCTATTGAAATTTGTTTGCATTTTCGCAACTTTGTCACCAGTTGGTTCGCAAAAGTGTCAGTTTTTGTCACCGATCATATCCAGTAAATCAGAAGCCATTTCTACCCCCGATCCGATGGAAAAAAACCGGTATCCGGCCGAAAACCTCTCACCACAATCCCCAGCAACTTACACAATGGGGCTAGACGCACCATTTTGAAATAGCGTGCACATGACGCAGAAATGATACACATCAAGTTAAGAAAATGACCATCCCCGTGGCGAGACCATCTCCGCGGTCTCTATCACGCAGATGCGCGCAGCTATCGTGGCCATGCGGAGGCGGTGGCCGGGACAGCGGACAGCGGCCGGGGCCGCCCCGCCGGCCTGCGACCGGCCGGCTGCATCGGCCGGGGTGGCCGCTCTGTCGCGGCGCGACAGGCGTCGTTGCCTCACATGAGGGGTGGTGGCGCTGGAGTCCTGACGACGTGGACACGCCCCAGACCACCTTCCCGTTCCTTGCCAACCACCCATGACTGGCTCCAGCTCGAGCCAGCCCGTGAGCCAGCCCACCCGGCCCAGCTGCGGGCGATGCTTGCTCGCTCCAGGACACTGCTGTCCTGCAGACCGGCGCCGGACCCGTCCACTGACCCCACCAGCGGCTTCAACGCTCTGCTTCTGGACAAGCATAGGACACAGCTGCCCTGGTCCCACCAATACCCACTTACCACGCCTAGTCCTTCCCCATTCCGAGCCGGAGACACATCGCTGGTAGCTTATGCATTCAGCTCAGAAGACTGTCTCGAAATCGGCCGCCGTTCAAGGAACGCACCAGGCCATTAGCCCGATATGGATTCAGCAATGTTTGTTTCTCATTTTACAACGCTTCAGTCCACTTTGATGGTATTTCATTTGGATAACAGACAGTTGCAAAGATAGGCGTAGTTCAATGTTCTCCAGGGAGTAGCTGTCCTCGGGGTTCAATGTGCCATTGGAGCAGTCGTCCTCGGGTCCAATTTGCCCCCATGGAGTAGCTGTCATAGTGGTGCCTCGCTCCAAGTGTAGAGCAAAAATCGCCGGCGTTGAATAACGTCCGCCAATTGAGTCCACGGGCTGATAAGAAGATTATACGCTTTGAGACAGAAATTAAGTTCCAGCACTTCCAAGTACTGTTTGCTGGAGGGACCAACAGATAAGCTTTCGTAGCTCATAGCACGGCAAAAAAAATATAACTGTGGGCTCAGAGGTCTTATGCTGCGCTACCAGTCTGTAAAGATCACTGTGGGCTCAGAGGTCTTATGCTGCGCTACCAGTCTGTAAAGATCACTGTGGGCTCAGAGGTCTTATGCTGCGTTACCAGTCTGTAACATACCAGGAGGTGCTGGCATGATGGCAAACATACCAGGAGGTGCTGGCATGATGGCATTATAGAGCAGACATCGGTTTAATGGACGGCACTAGACGTTTCAAGCTGTGTTAATGATCACGAGGACTCGTCATCAGGTATAGCCGAGTTGAGCTCAGTTGAGTTGAGCTGGTGTTTTAGAGGTGCGGGGGTGTTCGTGCTGACCATGCACCTAATTCAGAGAGTGTTGTCAAGTTCTGGCACCGTTTGAAAACAACCACAGAAGCATAATTGAGGGACTAGTAGATGCGACTGTTTGAAGAGGACTTACGTGCCTAGTCGACACATTCTGTACCCAAGCACTGAAATGTCTAATTCCTTGTGTTCAAACACTGCATTGCTGTTGTCCGTGATCCCAATAGCTGGCCATTCTGTTCATGATATACACACGAGACACACACACACACACACGCACACACACATATATATATATATAATATATATATATATATAATATATATATATATATATATATATATATATATATATATATATATATACAAATACCAGCTTTACTTCGAGCTAAAGGTGGTCATCAAGCCTCATGCAAAAGTGATGAGGGATTGACATGGACGTAGAGAAAACGATGTATAAGACGGTTGCGAAAGTCGAGCAGACAGAAGAATAGAGCAGGCCAATATATTTTCAGCAGTAGGGCATCTTGAAGGAACAAGTAGAATGGACTTACATCGAAAAAGAAACGAGTCATAACTGCCAACGGGCGCCATCGCACTGGTATTTTTCCCCGTTTGCGATGATCACAATAGAATGCGCGAATAAAACAGACTTCTGAAGGTGTACAATAATCGCGATTGATTGCAGTTAGCGACTTTATGGATGATTTTTGCAGGGGTGGATCTGGACTTTGCTTTTGGGGGGCACACCTTTCCTGAAGAATGTCACTGAAAGCACCTAGTGGCTCTCACAAGCGTACTCAGAATATATATATATATATATATATATATATATATATATATATATATATATATCTAAAACACGACCCCGGGTTGCGGTTTGGGCTCAGGTCGTGTCTCGCGTGAGAAGGCTTTGAGAGCAGGACAATCTGTGACCGGTAGCCTGGGTATGATGAAATGAAGAGGTCACCAGGTAACAGTAACAGGGACCCAGTCAACAGAAAAGCGACTTTTGTTTTTGCACAACATTTTTTGACCATTTTGATGAGGCCAAATCATGGCTCACGACCTTTGAGGGGGAGGGGCATGGCTCCTTTTCCCCTCCCCCCCCCCCGGAACCGCCCTTGCTTTTTTGGTTGTTACACTTAGCCTTTTTGGTTAACGCCACACCTTCACAGCGTATAGTATTTGAGACCGAGTCTAAAATTGGAAACGTCATTGGGCTCGGACCAATTGCTTCCGTCCCTTTGGTACGCACTTCGACGGCGTGCTTGGGTGAGCCATTGGTTCCTCATGTGTCCCTTTGGTATGCACTTCGACGGCGTGCTTTGGTGAGCCATTGGTTCCTCATGTGTCCCTTTGGTATGCACTTCGACGGCGTGCTTTGGTGAGCCATTGGTTCCTCATGTGTCCCTTTGGCATGCGATTCGACGGCGTGCTTGGGTGAGCTATTGGTTTCTCATGTGCCCCTTTGGTATGCACTTCGACGGCGTGCGCTTTGGTGAGTCATTGGTTCCTCATGTGTCCCTTTGGCTTGCGATTCGACGGCGTGCTTAGGTGAGCTATTGGTTTCTCATGTGCCCCTTTGGTATGCACTTCGACGGCGTGCTTGGGTGAGCCATTGGTCTCTCATGTGTGTCTGCTGGGGTATCCGGAATTTGACATCGGTGCGGTTCCCGCTCTGGTCTCAGTCAGATGGTGTTGCCTACCGACGTCGCGACGCGGAGTTGTCAACGTGTGGACACCGTTTTGACTTGTGCTTTGCCTAATTTTCGCAGTCACATATTTTGCATTTCCATGTTAAATGAATGGGGTATGTCTGCCTGTTCTTTTCATATGCGACCAAAAATGACAAAAAACGACCGATCGATTGACCATTCCGAAACGTCAAGCAAATTAGGTTACTATGCATTTAAAATGATAGTCTCACGACAAGCATCCAAAGCGCCTTACCTTCGTGCTGGTGGTTTTATGTAAGTTATAATCAATACAAATATGACTATTTTTGGTCAGTTAACATCAATGAGGCAATCGGCTTCTGCCGAGAAATTATGTGGGGAATGTTAAGCCCGTTTCGAAGCAGACTAGCATGCGCAACACATGTCACGTGTCATTTAAGTCAACGCGATTCACAAAAGTCCCTAGGGATTTCAGCATATAAGCCTGTCCTCTTAACCTGGTAGAATATTACTTTAGGTGTTCTTCCTTATAGGTTGTCAAAGCAAACTGACATGATGCCAGGTGGAACTGGACGTGCGATATTTCCATTGCATCTGATGAGCAGAGTGTGATGTTTCCAGTGCACCCGCTGAGCCGGGTGTCATGTTTCCAGTGCACCTGATGGGCCGTGTGTGATGCTTTCAGAATGTCTGATGAGGAGCATGTGATGTTTCTAGCACCCCTGACCAGCTGCATGTGATGTTTCTAGCACCCCTGACCAGCCGCATGTGATGTTTCTAGCACCCCTGACCAGCTGCATGTGATGTTTTGAATGCACTGGATGAGCCATGTGTGATATTTTCAGCGTGCCTGATGAGCCATTTGTGATGTTTTCAGCGACCGCAATGAGCCGTATGGGATGTTTTCAGTGTGCCTGATAAGCCATTTGTGATGTTTCCAGTGAGTCTGATGAGCCGCATGTGATGTTTCCAGTGCACTTGATCAGCCGCGTGCGATGTTTCCAGTGCACCTGATCAGCCGCGTGCGATGTTTCCAGTGCACTTGATCAGCCGCGTGCGATGTTTCCAGTGCACCTGATCAGCCGCGTGCGATGTTTCCAGTGAGCCTGATAAGCCAGCGGAGAGCGCACCGAAGGGTGACTTGCCGGAAGCCGAGATTGAGGTGGTGACCCCGTCCGAGTCGGCCGACCGGCAGTCCGTCTCATGGGGCGGCAGGCTCTCTCGCTGGCTGGAGAACAACCGACGCCAAGTGTTCTTGTTCACTCTCTACACGCTGGTCATGCTGGGCATCTTCATCGAACGGGCCTACTGTGAGTCGAGCAGTGACTCAGGGCAGGGACGGTGGAGAGTCAGAAAGGGTGAGAGGGCTAAGCAGGAGGAGATCACCAGGAAACGAGAAGGGAGGGACGGACGAGCGGAGGGACGGAGGGACGGCTGAACGGACGGGCGGACGGGCGGACGGGCGGACGGGATGGAGGGACGGAGGACGGACGAGCGGAGGGACGGCTGAACGGACGGGTAGACGGGACAAAGGGGCGAAAAGACAAAGGGACGGAGGGCGGAGGGGCAGAGGGACGGAGATTTGAGTCAGGAGACCCCTGATAATTGGCGAAGGTTGCTTCCACTCGGTGGAGCGAGTCGAGAACGGGAGGACGGGGGAGGGAGAGAGGACGGTCGGGAGACTCCTGACAATCAGCGAAGGCTGCCTCCTGTCAGTGGTGCGAGGCGAGTACGGACGGCCCCGCCGCGGCTCGCGTGGCCGTGACCGTGGGCCGTGCTCTGCAGACTACTCGGTGGAGCGGGAGCATGCGGGACTGCGGCGGATCGCCGGCTACGGCGTGACAGTGACGCGCGGCGCCGCCTCCGCCATGATGTTCACCTACTCCACACTGCTGGTCACCATGTGCAGGAACACCATCACCTTCTGCCGAGAGACTTTTCTGCACCGCTTCATGCCGTTCGACTCGGCTGTCTTCCTGCACAAGTACATCGCTGTCTGGGCGCTCATCTGGTCCGGTAAGTTCTTCCCGATATGTCGAGCCCATTCCTTGAATGAACGAGGGAATGAGTGCACTCACGTACGCACGCATACACGCATGCGTGCGGGCACCGCGGGCGTATGCACAGATCCAAGCTTGGGGGATGTGCTATGTCGATATCGCTGTGTGATATCGATTTCTGGATAGATATAAAATGTTTAGCAAATGCAAATGTGCCGTTTTGTTCGAGCTGACGCAGGGCACGACGGATATTCAAAGGAAAAATCATCAGATTCTGTCCTTTTGGCATTATGAGCTGAAAGTCCTTATGCTGAGTTGATATCCTTCGATGTACCAGGAGGTGTTGGTTAAATGACGCTGTAGCACTAAGTAAAGATGGACAGTGGCAAATATATTCATTTATATTATCTTTACTATACTGGTTATTTGGCGCTGCAACGCCTTTTAACCAGGCGTTTAACCAGAATTTGCTTGGATAGAGGTATGATGTCTGCGGGCGATAGACCGTGGTTGTGAGGTAGGCATGATGCCTGCGCTCGGTAGGCTGCTCCTTGCCCGGCTGGCTAAGCAGGCAAATCGCGCTAGCTTTACCATCACGTAAGCAAACATGCCGACGCCACAGATCGTCAGTGTGATGCTGTGGTTAGCTCCACGTGCGTACAACAGCTACCAGCAGCATTCGGTGATGAAAATAACTGGTAACGCATAGGAGGTGTATAGTCCAATGGACGCCAGTCCTCAGATGCCTGACGCGTCTGCCACGTACAGTTTCCACCAGGGATGCTATAGAAAACAAGACGATGCACTAAAACCATGCTCTGAGCGGATCGAGCATTGACCCCTGGTGTGCCCCTCGACTGGAGACACTACACATCGTGGCCCACGGGCACCAGGCCACATGCAACGCAGAAACTTAACGACAGGCTGTGCGCCAAAATGCATGCGACATCTGCATTTTACCATGCAGCTGGCTGGTGATAACACCATGATGTCTGGCCCTACGAGAGGGCGAAGGCAGCTCATTAAACCCCAGATCACAGTGCAAAGAATAGCCAAGATACCTGCATAAACGTTCGGTTGGAAGAACGGTGAGGAGTAGGAGCCTGAAGGTATTCCCAAAGTATCAAAAAAACAGGTTCGAGGTTCAGTTTCAGGCTGCATGTGCTTCCTTACGGTCATGTGTATTGTTGTTTAATTTATTTCTGCGAGCGAATGGGGCGACGCGGTCAGTGACATGCAGTGATATCTTACCGCTCTCCCATTAATGGCGTGGTGCGGTAAGTGACATGTAGTGATATCTTATTGCTCGCCTATTGATTTGTCAGCCACCAATAGCAGCAGTTTTCAGTCACGTGTGTTATCTATGACAACAGGCATGGTATGTTTTAATAGCACCAACGAGCTGCGTTACCAGCATGAGCATGAGTTATTTTATAAGTAATAACAAACAGCACCATTCGCGCATGCTGTGATTTATAGTTTGTCTATTAGAGTTGCCCTGCTTCTCGGTACGGGCTCGTCTCGAAGCGTGGCCTTCCTTCGTTGCCAGTGATCCACACCATCGGTCACGGCGTCAACTTCTACCACATCTCGACACAGCCTCCCGGCGACCTCATCTGTCTGTTCCGCGACTACTTCCGATCGTGAGTGAGCTGGGGACGGTCCCCGTACGTTACGGTCGCTGACCGCAACACTGGCGAACGACCGCAACACTGGCGAACGACCGCAACACTGGCGAACGCGCACGTTACGGTCGCTGACCGCAACACTGGCGAACGCATCGCCATCGCACGTCACTGTCATTAAGTGTAGCACCGGTCAGCTCGCCGTTACCGCGCGTCCACGTTAGATTCACTGTCACCCTGCCACGCGATGCATGTGAGTCTCGAGCCCCTTATAGCCGCCAAATCATGGCAGCCATAGTTGTTCAAAGTTTCAGCCAAGCCAAGCCATTAGTTGGCTTGTGGTTGTGTTTGTCGTGTCAGAAGTTAAAGGTGCAACACAAAGACACATGCCTACCTTGCCCGCACACTTATTTGGGACAAACCATCGGTTAGATACCGATAACAGAAATGCTAAGAACATAAAAGATTATGTAAAATTCCCACACATCAAATATAACTGCATCTCGTGCAGCATTCGCTAAGATAGGTAGGGTGGTACTTGTACAATCAAGCAACTTTTGTGTTTTTCCGTAGCACATCGATTGTAATTTCGTTTTACTTTTGCAGGTTTGGTTTTTTATGCGTGTGTTCTAAGGATTATTCCTATCACGTTAGGTAACAAGGCGGTGATCGTGTCCGAAAGGTCTGAACGACGGACTTGCGGAAAGCTGGCGTTCAAGCGTATTTGTACCGCTGTGCACACGAGAGCTGACTGCTATGGTGGTGCAACGGTGTGAAGTAGTTGCATAACAAACGGTATCAGCATCCTTGAATTCCTCAGGTCATTCGACGTCAAAGTCACTTTGGTAGAATCTTGATCTGGAATCTGGAATCACACGCTCGGGTGGCCGGCTGGATACCTTTCCCTCTGGTTGGGGGGGGGGGGGGGGCGGGGGGTCAATCAGACCCCTTGAGGTCTCGGGAACTAAGAAATCTAGATACTTAAATTTTGCAGGGTGTCTTGACCTGTGCGTCAGCTTACTAAGGTCAAATTTTGAGGTTCCTAGTTCATAACTATTAGGTCAAATGAGGTCAAGCAAGGTCAAATTTCAGGTTCGTCTCCAAATTGCCCTCAGAACCTAGATAACTGTTTCTAAGCAAAAGGTTACATGCTCATTTAGGGTAAGTGGCCTTGTCTGACCTTTTGAAAGTCATGGTGACTAAATTGATCCAAGACTGCTCTGAGTTTTGCATTTGAAGCAGCGACAAGTATTACGCTGGGCGGTATGTTCCTGAAAACAAAATATTGACGTGTGCCATTTTAGGTCAATGACCTATTATGACCTCTAAGAAGTCCATGGAAGGCGTGTAACGCGGTTTATGCTATCAATAAATTCAAAATGAGCAGCAGAAACTGTTCCATATGACAAGCCCTAGAGTAATAAAATAGGCTGGTTTTGACCTTGGTCTTACCTTCATACCTTGTCTACAGCTCTGCAAAATTTGGCGCGGCCACGCTGCGCCATTCGAAAACCATTCTGGAAAGGCCTTCGGGGGTCAATTTGACCCGCCCGAGCGCATTTTGAATCGGCGAACGGGGTGGCTTTATCTTGAAACATCTCACGCTCAGGAGCTCCTACACATGATGCCGGCGTCACTAATGATACGGGTTTCATTAAATGTCGAGGTCATATCAGGCAGAATCTTGAAAACCGCCAAGAGTAATGAGAGTTGGCCCTTATTTCTACGTACGGGTATCATCATGGTACGTCCATGGATAATGTAAGAGCAAGTTCGCCTACGGTGAAAGTTATAAAAGGCAATGGCAGCACTTCGTACGATCCCACACTCCCGGTGAAGTAAATGGTGTCACACAGTTGTTAAGGCCTTTGAACAGGCCTTACTCAGGGGACTACAGAAGAGCGACGTAGAGATAGTAGAGTCCGTTTGACCTAATTTTCCTAAACTAACAGGAAAGCCGTTACACAACTTGAAATGATCTTTTAAAAGTTGGCGCTATGGCCCGATTTTGAGTTGTTATCACGCATAGCAGGTGCAAAATCTAAGGGGAAGGGGAGGGTCATACTTGCCGGCTGGTGTCGGCAGCTGCTGGCCGGAGCTGGCGGGCGTGAGTGGCCGATGCGTTAGCGCACCCCCTACCCTGACTGACGGGGTGACCGACGGTCGGCAGGTCTGACGTGCTGCCCAAGTTTCACTACTGGTGCTGGGAGACCATCACCGGCTTCACGGGAGTTCTGCTGCTGCTCAACGTCGCCATCATCTACGTGTTTGCGATGCAGTATGCGCGCCGCCACGTCTTCAAGGGCTTCTGGCTGACCCACAACACGTACCCGTTCTTTTATCTGCTGACCGTCCTGCACGGGTCGGGACGCCTGGTTCAGGTGCGTTCAGACCAGCCACTGGGACTGGTTCAGGTGCGTTCAGACCAGCCACTGGGAAATTACACATCGCCGCATTCATAAATACTGGGCCCTTGTAAAGGATATTAATGTTCTTATCCGTACCTATATCTTATCGGTCATGTGTTACCAGCGCTCCACTTGTGTCACCATCATACAGCCGCAAGTTGGCAGCAAATCGCTGCCTTTTATAACTTGATTGGGGAGAACATTATGTGATGCGCTAGGTGTACCAGAAAAAAGGTAGCGCACTTAAGCGCACCATCTCTCCATTCAAGAACAGACCTTTTACGGTAAATTTCGAGATCTTTGGAGGTCAAACCGGCTCTCACGTGAATTTCGTTAGAAAGGCAGGCCGGGGCGACAGATCCACTCGCCCAAGATTTCGTTTTTTTTTAAATCAGCCTGGTAGTTCTCGAGCTTTGGAGGGCGAAGGGGAGGGCGACAGCAGCCGCTCCCAGCTGTCCGGAATAGGAGTAACGGGAGCCAACTCGAAATATCTTTAAAGACCGCTGTCACAAGACATGTGGCAGGCACAGACTCTCTGACTGCGGGCCAAATATTGCCAACCATGGTGTACCTTTTCAGGAACCTTTCTTCTACTACTTCTTCCTCGGCCCGTGCGTACTATTCGCCCTGGACCGCTTCGTCTCCGTTAGCCGAAAGAAAGTAGAAATATCCGTCATCAAGGCCGAACTGCTTCCTTCAGGTATAGTCATCCTGGGTTTGTCACGGCATATATTCATAAAAAAGGGTGGTTTTATCGAGGTTCCGGCTGCTCATTGCACCTTGATCAAGCACAGACACATTACATGGAATAATAATATTAACGAAATAGTTGTTTACTTTTCCTAGTTTAGCTGGTTTGATCAGCTTGAACCGACAAGACCGAATGCAGCCTTTTAGAGTCTGATTTGATTCAGCGTAACTCGGCCTTCATATCTTTTTTCTGAATTCCATAATAAAGTCATACGCGGTGCATGTGTTCCAGTTTAATATCGGCGTTTGTTTTCGTTGGCGTAGAAGCGTTTTTGGTGCGTGCACAGTGCTTTATGTCAACGTCATTTTACAAAAGGCTTCAGCTCCGTCGTTGGCTCTCCGATCACGTCGAACTGCTGACCTCTAGCTGCTCTGACCTCTAGCTGATCTGACCTCTAGCTGACCTCTAGACGACTTCAGTTGACCCCGACTTTGCTCCGGCCCCGCGGCCAGATGTGATCCCGTGACCTCTGACCATGCCTTGACCCCGTCGCCAGACGTGATCCCGTTATCTCTGACCCTGCTTTGACCCCGTCGCCAGATGCGATCCCGTTATCTCTGACCCTGCTCTGACCCCGTCGCCAGACATGATCCCGTTATCTCTGACCCTGCTCTGACCCCGTCGCCAGATGTGATCCCGTTATCTCCGACCCTGCTCTGACCCTGTCGCCAGATGTGATCCCGTTATCTCTGACCCTGCTCTGACCCCGTCGCCAGATGTGATCCCGTTATCTCTGACCCTGCTCTGACCCCGTCGCCAGATGCGATCCCGTTATCTCTGACCCTGCTCACCTGACCCGTCGCCAGACGTGATCCCGTTATCTCTGACCCTGCTCTGACCCCGTCGCCAGATGTGATCCCGTTATCTCTGACCCTGCTCTGACCCTGTCGCCAGATGTGATCCCGTTATCTCTGACCCTGCTCTGACCCCGTCGCCAGACGTGATCCCGTTATCTCTGACCCTGCTCTGACCCCGTCGCCAGATGCGATCCCGTTATCTCTGACCCTGCTCTGACCCGTCGCCAGACGTGATCCCGTTATCTCTGACCCTCTCTGACCCCGTCGCCAGATGTGATCCCGTTATCTCTGACCCTGCTCTGACCCTGTCGCCAGATGTGATCCCGTTATCTCTGACCCTGCTCTGACCCCGTCGCCAGATGTGACGGCCCTCCATTTTAAGCGTCCGTTCAACTTCGAGTACAAATCGGGCCAGTGGGTGCGCATCGCCTGCCCGCCGCTGAACGGCAGCGAATACCACCCGTTCACGCTGAGCTCGGCGCCGCACGAGAAGCACCTGAGCCTGCACATCCGCGCCGTCGGGCCCTGGACACGGAACCTGCGCCGGCTATACGACCCCACCGTCATCAGGGACCATCCGCTGCCCAAGGTGAGACATCAGCACCATCCGCTGCCCAAGGTGAGACATCAGCACCACCCGCTGCCGAAGGTGAGGCATCAGGACCACCCGCTAGCAAAGGTGAGGCGTCAGCACCACCTGGTGTGCATAGTCAGCCACCATAGCTGTTTTTGCCACCCAAAAAAGCTTTCCGAATGTTTTTAAAACTGCTGAAGCCTGTATAAGCCAATACGAGCTAGGGACGTGAAAACATTCGTTGTACTTTTGTGCGATCGGAAATAACTTAATCTCGAAGCGCTTCAGTCGGTCCTCTTATTCTGGGTCCATTTAGCCTTTTGTATTCTGTATTCTCGGCCCAGTACTAACGGTTTCAATGCCCTTCCAAAATGTGTAAATCACGCTCAAGTTGGCCGGTGTAGGGGCTCGTTTGAAACCGGCAGATCCCAGACCGGTCCCTGACCGCGACCAGATGCAGAGAGGTCTGGCGACTGCGGCACGCGTGAATAGGCAGGTAACCTCTCCCAGCGTCTTCCAGAGCGGGGGAAAGATAGAGAAATGTGAGTTCAATTGTGGGCAAAGGCAAAACAAGCAGAACAATTATGAAGGTCATTTCAGTCCTTACATTAAGTGCACGTGTACAGCATATGGAAGGATCTAGTGCACTATCCTCAACGTAGGAAAACGAGATGTGTTAAAAAGTTCCCATGGACAAAAAGTAAACATGCCCTCACTAGTCCTACCGTCCTGGAGAACATCAGTCGGACAGGTGCCGTTCGGTCGGCGGTGGCCGGTGACTCCTGTCGGGCTGGTGCGGCCCAGCCCACGCTGGACGGTGCCTCCGTGACACGGCGGCGGCGTCGACCTTTGTTCCGAGTCACGCCACTCGCGGGGGCTCGTCGCCTCGCCACCCTGTATCGACTTCGGCTGTGCAAACGGCCGGACGCCCGTTAGGACGGCCGGGCGGCACACGCCACACCGCGGCCCCTTCGAAAAGGTCGCACGTAACGCGCGGCTGCCTGTAATGCGCGGCTGTCTGTAGCACGCGGCTGCCGGTAACACGCAGATGTCTGCAACACATGGCTGTCTGTAGCACGCGGCGTGTGATCCATGTAACCTACAACACGCAAGTAGCACTCGAAAAGCACGTATTGTCCTGATACCAATTACGCGAGTCATAACACGGAGGAGCACTGCTGTCTGACGTCACGTCACGTCACGTCGCGTCACGTCTGGAGGACGACCTCACGTGGTAATCCATCCTGGCCGCAGTGTTAATTGGCTGAGACGCGCGCCGTGCGCGGGTACGAGTGAGCATATATATATATATATATATATATATATATATATATATATATATATATATATATATATATATATATATATATATACAAGGGCTCTTCTGGTCCATAATCTAAAGAGATAGAATGAGTTGTTGATATGCGGCTGTTCCTGTGGCGCATTTAGACATTCGAGGCCATCGACCCTCAGCCGTAGCGCAGGTCCATTAGTTCCATTGTGGCTCAGCTTGGTGGAAACATTGCATTCCTTACTTTTGTTTAGTCCGACTTGCGACTGTCGATATTTCAAATATCGCAGCGCATGCTCTTCTCATCACAGAAGATGTTAAGAAACTAGTTAACTATGCCGCATAAGGTGTGCAAACGCACTGTTTTGCGGCACATTTTCAGGAAAAGAAAATGCACCGAAATGCCGATAACGACAGTTTGGGTTTTTTAATTTTACCCAGTCATAAACGTATATGCATTTCTGCGGGCCAGATCCGGTAAGCTCATCTCAGATTACCTTTTCACTTAAGCACGCGCCCGGGCTGCGGGCTGAATACCTAGATCTGGACACCAAATTTACAGAGTGGGTTGGTTGATATGTGAACTCACTTGTGCCGAAGTTTGAGCTCAGTGGGTCAAGACATTTAGGACAAGTATTGCCGAACAAAGCCAAACCCAAGACTAGCGCCCCCAGAACTCCTCATGCAACTGCCTTGAACCCAGATTTCTGTTCTGAGCAAACTGTCACTGGTACACATTTTAGGTTAGTGACCTTGTTTGAACTGTTAAATGTCATGGTGATCAAAAACCTACAAAATTGTTAAGATTTTTACAAAAAATGGAATAAGCGTTAAGAATTACGCTACTGGTGCGTTGTGTTGATTGGGATCATTTGAGGTCAGTTGCATATCCTGACCTTCAAAAAGTTAATGTAAGATGTTTGCAACGGTCTTCCTTATCGAGAAATTCAAAGTGAGCATCAAAAACTATCTCATCAAGCAACTCTCCAGCACAAAAATTTATTGGTTTTGACTGAGGTCTTGACTTTCATACCTGACCCTAGGTCAATGGAATTTGATGTAGTCATAATTTGTTATTGCCTAGGAAGCCATCTCAGATACGCTATGCCTTCGACCAACGCCCCGTTGTCGCATCAGATTAAAATATTCCCTAGCATTACCTTCGCTGGCAGCCATGGTCTAAGTTCGACCTACCATTGGACAGCGACCTTACAAGGTGCTTCTATTTTTTGTGTCGAAAGATCTGCTATTTAATTGTCTATAGCATTTCAAAACATAGCGCGGCTACGCCACACTCTTCGAAAATGATACCTAATAAGCCTTGTGGTGCTAGATTGACTTACTCACGCTAGCATGCGTTAAGCATGTGAGGAAAACAGCGCAATGGCTGATGCGAGGTTTTCTCACATCATTTTAAGCGGACAGCCTGCGTTAATCACTTTTATGATAGCTCCTGAAATTGCCTTCGCTGGCAGCCATGGTCAGCTAAGCTCGATCTATCATTAGTCAGCGACCTTACAAGGCACTTATAATTTTGTATGTTAAAAGATCCGCTATTTAATTGACTACAGCATTGCAGAACATAGCGTGGCTACGCCACGCCATCCGAAAATTACATTCAGAAAACTTTTTGGTGCCAAATTGAGCCCACCCACCATGGCGTGTGGTAAACATGTGACGAAAGCAACGCAATGGTTGGCTGCGAAGTTCTCTTACAACATCATTTTACAAGTTCTCTTATTTTCAGATTTATTTTTTATGTCATAACATTTATATATGTAGATATGTGAATAAATATGTATATGCATGTAGAGATACATTTATTTAAAACATTATTTTTCTATATTATATAATCATTTTAAAAGTTTTCTTTAGCAACATATTACAGAAGACCACTTACGTTCATCATTTGCAGTACAGCCTGCGCAAGCTGAACACCGATTTCTTATCATTTGGATAGTAAGGATCCAGTCTTTTATGACACCAATCGTCCGATATATTTCGCATACTATAACACATGACCCTGAATGCTAGCCGCTCCTGCGTTGTGAAAACTGATCGGCCTGACAAATCGCAATAATGCGACGCGCGGTAACCGTGTGGTGGACAGCTTCTGGGCCGCACGGCACTCCGCGCTGTTCATGGACAGCTTCTAGGCCGCACGGCACTCCGCTCTGTTCACAGAGGCGTTGATCGTGTGTGCGTCGGACGCGCGTCAAAAAGCAGGTGATGTCATGAGAAGTGTGGTGACGTGTAATATATACTTGATAGAATGAATTTTAGTTCAGTGGCCGCTGCATTTGACATCGTTGTTTGATTTTCGGGCTGGTTTTGAAGATTAAAAAACGGTGAACTTTGTTAGATGGGACGGAAAACTGCTTCTTTTCTAGTAAGGGAAGACCGTTGTTATAGGGCCTTGGGAAGATCGATCAAAATTTACTCAGGAAACGTGTCGTCGCTGCATAGTCACTTCGTTTTTAAAATAGGTCAATTTAGCTCATTTCAAGCCTTCAAAGAATGACCAAATGGAAGCGGTGGAATTGCACAGCCAACTTGAACTGATGCAAAACCAAGCAAACAGCCAAGAAGAAATTATCAACTCTGACAGTGCGTGTAGCTGAAATGGCTATTGTGTTTAAAGACATGCAGGCAGAAAATGAGAACATCATGTTTGATGGCCAAGACCCAGGACTGAAAGACTTTCAGCTTGTTTTAAAACGAATTAACGACTATCTTGACTCCCTGAAAGGGTAACAGAAATTTGGTGACCAAATAAAAACCATTCATGAACTGGGAGCTTTATGCGGAGGCCGTGGTAGTTGCTGGGACTAAGCCAGATGCTGAAATGCAGGCAAAACATGCAAGGAAGAATTTAGGCAATGCAAGTCCACCAAAGGGCGGCGACGAACCGTACGCTGCCAGAAAACTAGAGGTGATCTTCACCGTGGAATTCGAATCAAAGGAAAGCCAAGGTAGAAAAACAAAGGAGACACAAGAACATGCGAGAAGGAACGGAGTGGTAGCCCAGTTGCTAAAGAAGCAAAACCAAGCAGCCAACTTACTCGAGGTACCTATGGAGAGGAAAACAGCAAAGGGCGTGGACTAAACGTAAAGAGGGTTAGTGCAGGATAAAAGGTTGCAGACGCCATAGAAAACGCAGATGGCGAGGGTGCATGGACCAGAGTGGAGCGAGCGAAAAGAAACCGAAGACACGAAATGTGAAGCAATTTTGATCGGTGGAATATACGCAAGCCGGATCAAAGCAGCGGTAATGAAATAGCTTATTTTCGCATTAAAATACATATTTTATTACGACCAGTGATGAAATTGATGAGGGTTTGAAGAGCGCGGTCACAAGAAATAAAGCAAAGGAAGCGGACGTAATGGCTCATATTGGGGCCGACGACGTGCTGAATCATAGTGCAGATTATGTTCTGGAGAGCATAACCAGCACTGTCAACCATGCACATTCCTTGAAAAATGTCGAACGAGTCTTCATTTGCTCGCAAGAAGAGAGACGGGACGCTGACATGATGACTTATGAAACAGCAAAAACCGTCAACAGTGAACTCAACCAACCGTGTGTGCCCCCCCCCCCCCCCCCCCCCCCCCCCGGTGTAGGATTCATAGATCTGCGGCCAAGAATGATATCCTGCGTTTTTGGAGGCCTCAACTAGACAGGCATCTTACATATTTTTGAAGGCACCAGAAACGTTTCGCAGCG